CTAGGAAAAAGATTTTTTACGTCAAATGAAATTAATCTGGAGTTGTTAGGTAATTGATAATAAAATACAACATTTTTAATCAAAAACTACACAAGAAAGCCCTGAAATTAGTATTTCCACCACCAGAGAAAAAACCCAGTACCTTCTGCTTGATTACATATACAGGCAAAATAACAACAAAAATTGCCAAACACATAAAAAAGAAAGGAATAACACCAGCTTTCCGAACAAATAACAACCTAGGCAAATATATTAAAAATAACAAGAGCCAAAATAAAAAACACTTAAATAGTGGTGTGTACAAACTTCAATGTGGCGACTGCCCAAAAACTTACATCGGTCAAACTGGTAGAAACTTTATAAACGAATAGCAGAACATAAAAGGGCTTTCAAAATAGAAAAACAGATTCGACATACGCACTTCACCTTCTAGATCATAATCATTCTTTTAATGACAAATTTAAAATTCTTCACATTCAAAATAAAGGCCTTAAGCTATCTTTGTTAGAATCTATGGAAATCAACAAATTAAAAAACACAGATATAATTCTGAATGACCAACTTGAGACAAACAGTTCTCCCCTCCTCAACCTATTTCATTAGAGACTATAAATTTGTAAACCCAAGCCAAAATAGATCACTTGAGAAAGGCAATCAGCCGAAACAGCTGTAGTGATAATATTTAAAATAAATTTTGTGGAAGTTTGAAAACAAAGTTTTCAGTGTTTTATTGTTACTTCAAAGGTCTGTTCGTATTTACCTTTCTTCATAGTTTTCCGCAACAAATTACTTTTACCACTCACACTTTTATTAACCGATTGTTCAATATCTTTTCGTTTACGTCTCCAATCTCCTACAGTCACTTCTCCAAAACAAACAAATTTTACAAACAAATTTTACTGCAAGTGATGGTTGGCTCGGCAGATGGAAGAAAAGGTATCGCATCCGACAACTGAACCTTAAGGGTGAAACAGTTTCGGCCGATTCATCTGAAATTGAGCCGTTTAATATAAAATTGAGAGATCTCGTTTAAGAGCATGATCTCACGTCAGACCAAATCTTCAATTGTGACGAAACGGATCTCAAAAACACTGGCAGCTCAAAGTAAAAAAACTGCGCGTGATACAAAAAAAGCAAAGAACGAGTAACTCTTTTGATGTGTAGTAACTCTTCTGGATCTTTAAAATTAAAACTATTGGAAAATCGAAGAATCCAAGGGCTTTTAAAAATATTTAAGTAAACTACCTATCCACCATGTACAGGAATCAACGTAGTGCTGATGGATTCCAAATTTTTAAAGATTGGTTTTTTGACGAACCTACTAAAAAAGAAAAACCTACCAAGAAAAGCTATTCTTCTTTTGTTCAACGCGTCATCTCATCCAGATGCAAGTTTTTTGGCTAGCGGTAATACTAAAGACACTAAAGCTGTTTTCTTGCCACCAAACTTCACATCTCTCATTCAACCTCTGGACCAAGGAATTTAAGAGGCTATGAAATGGAACTATCGTCGAAGGCTTTTCTAATGTTGTTGACCTGCTTGGATGAGGGCATGACTGTGACAGCAGCTTTAAAAGATGTGTCTTACTGGATACCTTCAGAGTGGAATAATGTGTGGGTAACAACTTTGCAAAAGTCATGACGAAAGATTTTTCAAATTGAAGCGAAAAGTTATGGAAAAGATAACAATGACTGTATTGCTGAAATAGTAGACCTCGCTACTCAGTTACCAACGAAACTGCCGATAAATGATGAAGACGTCAACAAGTGTATTATACAAGATTAGCAAATGGAACTGACTGATGATGCAATCGCCGACACGGCTATCAACCCATACAATGTCACTACGGATGACACAGATGAGATAATCGAGAAAATATCTCACTCCGTAGGATTGAAGGCCATTGGAGCTGCCCTTGCCTACATTCAACAACATGAAGAGTCAAACGCTACCGACGTCCTTCATCTTCAGTGTTGGCAAAACGTCGTAGCTTCAAAGCGAACCCAGAAGTTGACGCAGAAATCTATCAAAGACTTTTTTAAAACATGAAGATGATCCAGTATGTAATTGTTTTCCTATCTATATATTTTAACTATGTACTAACATACAGGTTAACATACTTCAATTGTACATAATAAACGAATTACATACGTCATAACATAATTTTTTGTTTATTTAAGCAACCCCGATTTCGGTTATCCGAGTATGCGCCGTCCAATTAGCTCGGATAATCGCGAGTCTACTGTATATTTATTTTAACCTAAGTTTAGCAAGTGTTAAACATTGGAGACACCGTGCAGTTTACCGTGCCTTTTACTACAACGAAAGTTTTTCTCTGAACTCCATTAATCGTTTAGAGGTGTAAGTTGGTGAATGTACTGTATATTATATATCTAACGACGCATGCTTTAAAAACTCACACAACTGACGCTTGCGTTTTTAACAGCTGGCACCCTAGTTTTTGCCATTTTTTTCTCAGGCAAACTTATATCGAAAAAAAAAATAGCTTTAATTTGATATTAAAAAAAACTTTGATATACATAATGAGACGCGTATTTTATTTGAAATATAAGTGAATGAAATAAAATTTTTGTCAAAAATTAATTACTATTAATTGAATTAAAAATATTTGAGGTCACTTTTTGACTAGCAACCTATTATCAATATATTCTCCTAATTTTAAATGTATGTACAAATGTGAGTTTGTTTAACTACGTTATGAATGTAGTGATCCTGCAGTGGGATCTTAGGATATTAATGGTATCAAAAGCCAACTTATGAGATAAGTTTTCAAAATATTTAGCCATATTTTACCAGTTTTTTTTCAATTATTTAAACCAATTATAGGGTTAAAAAAAATTTATTCAGAAAGTCTAAAAAAATTATTTTTTTAAGTTTCAAGGAAAAAATAGTAAAAACTTCTATTGGGACGATTTTTTTGAGGGATCTAAAAAACAGTTTTTAATTATTTAGAAGTTGTAATCAACGTTTAAACAATGATCCCATAAAATTAAACAGATACTTTTATGAATAAATTATTTCTTTCAGTCTAAACTTTGAATAAATTTTATATTTGAAAAAACTAACATTAAATGTTATGTTATGTTGCAATACAAGGATATTCTATTATTTGGAATATTTTTCCTTTAAAGTTATTATTTACATCAAATAAATAAATGTATCTTATAATAAAATTAATTTTACTAATGAGCATCGTTTTGAAACATCCTGTATATTATGAATATGTTTTTATGATTTTATTTCAATTGGAGAAAAATATTTGTTGTAAAGCAACAACTTTGCAGAGTCCAACAGCAGTATCTATTGTTCACCAAGCATACTATCATACTTATTGTAGTTGGAAAATTAACATATTATAGCTGTCTGATCCGATTTTTTCTCTCTGTTCTACACCAGTCATATTGCATTCAATTGGCTTAATGCTCATCGTCCATTAACTATTATACTCAGTATTTCGAAAAACCTGCTGTATATAAGCTCTCCATCAATACCGTCAGGTATTGATGGAGACCCAGACGAACCCTATTAGCGGCACCAGTAGAAAATAGGAGTAGAGGTAGACCAAGACTGAAATGGCGGGATTGTGTGGACGAGGACAAGAGGAAAATCGGCGCAGCAAACTAGCAATGGTTAGCAATGAACAGAAACAACTGGCAAAATAGATGGAGAAGGTTGAGGCTCAACTAAGGCTGTATCACCACAGATGATGATGATCAATACCTGATAGATCTTTTATTTGGCGCTACTATATTAACAGCTCTTCGTATATCTTGTAGCAACAGTAAATTCTGCTTACTGTGCTGAAGGTAGGCCTGTAGTATTGGTACCTATTTAGAGGCGAGACATGTTCTGGGACCACTGTCACCTCTCTGTCCTTTCTCTCTATATTTTTACTTGTAGACTCGGGAGAATCAGTCATTTCTGAATCCTCATCTGGACCATCTCTTTTTGTCTCTATGTCCATTTTATTCTCATGATTTGGGACAGAAATACTGTCAGGCACGGCAGTGCGCCAATACTTATACTGTGCCGGAGTAGCCGCAGCTCTCTGGGATATCACTTTTGCAACACTTTTCCCACTGTATCATTGTGCCTAAACCTCGAGATTGGGGAGTGTGGTGGTCCCGGAACCAATCAAGGAAATGGGAAAATTTATTGTTTACATTGGTGTATTTTTAATTGTTAATTGTGATTGTTATTAGCTTATAGGTAATGAATGGTTATACATTAAAAATAACTAATATTTTATATTATTATGATTATTTTGCTTTTTATCATTTCTAAACAATAATATTTAATTTACAAGGAATGTAGCTGACTTACCTTTAAATAAATGGTAAGTTTAAACTAGAATTATATCACAGATGAGCGTCATGAATTAATAGCACGTGTATGATCATAGTTTTTGTTTATTTTTAAATCATTTTATTTTTAACATTTTTAAATGACAAAATTGATATTTTTGTATTTTGATGTTGACGAAATGTCATTATCAGCTGATTCGAAGCATTGTTATCGCAATAAAGGTTATGTATGGGTGTAATATTTGAAAAAACCGTTTAATTATTTCCGAACTTTCCCGATATCACCTTGACGGAGGAAGTTAGTATATTGCAGGGCCTAAGAATAATGATGAAATAATATAGTGTAATTTTTACATAGGCTACATTACGTTATTATATTAATTTCTGAACATTTTTCTATAGTGATCTTAACATTAAAAACATTATTTTTTGTAGATCCAGTTGCGTATAAAAGTTTTAGATACCTATCTATCTATATATAGGTAAAACCAACCAAAAATAATTAAAATTACAATGAAAAATTTGAAACGTATAGCATATACCTTTAAAACACATGAAATGTAACTGGGAAATGTTTTCCAATATGAATGCCGTAATGCACATTATTCTAGTTTTTACTAACCAATTTTATTTGTTACAGAAGAGTAATAAAAAGAAGATAGAACAATTTTAACCTATATCTTGATGGCGGGAAAAAGTAAATCAAACAGAACAATTCCACTCTCACAACAAAGAATTTTCCTTTAAAAGCAAATTAAGTAGTTTTATATTATAATGGATACATCAACGGGAAGAAGACGAGTAAATCTTACTGTTGAAAACACTGAAAATTATATAGAATATTCCCATGACCTTAACATGTATGATAAAGCTCCTGATCATATTATTCCTCTGAATGAATTTGAAGAATTAGCTTTGGAAAGATTACAGCTATTGAGAATAATAGAACAAGCATCTGCCAGAGGTCACAAGCAATTTTCGGAAGACTGGAAAAAGTATATTAAGGAAGAACTTGCCAAACTTGGACTAAAAAAATATTTAAGATTACTTCTTGGGTACAATGGGTAAGTACTCTTATTCTTTGCTTATTATTATTTTAACTGCTTAAATATGTTTTGAATAATTAGATTTTCATACATAAATATTTACTTGTTTGAATAATGAACTGACTTTAAATGTAGAACCATCACTAATTAGGAGAAGTTTTAGAAACAAATAATAAATATATTATTTATTGTTGACCCTTTGTTTTTAAAACTAGATTTTGTCTTGTATAGCATAGTATAAAAATGTATTCTCAGAATTGAAGTTATGATTATGTTTCTTTTACAGTTCTTGTATTCTCTTTTATTAAATGTTCACAGATTCTATTTGATAGTTCTAGTAAAGTATTACAGTTAGGGAGGGCTTCAGTATTTTTTCAATTTTTGCAAATTCCTTAACCCTTTCAGTCATGAGTTTTTGTTTGTAAAGATAAAAATTTTAAACTTGGAGGTTGAGATATATGATTTTTTTAAAGATTTATAAACAAAAAATTTTGCCCATAGAACTAGTTTTTTTTGAAAAAAATTAATGTTCGTTAAAACGACCATGGTGACTCAAGAGTTGTGCATGTACAAAAAAACACCAAAAAATAGTAAAAAACATATTATTTATTTAGAATGAAAATCAACAAAACAATTACGTTCACGGACAATACATAAATGAATTTTGCATTTACTACAACTAATGTGTGTCTTTTTCAGACAGGTTCCATTTTTACACCTTGCACCTTGCTTGCTCTGGTCAAATATGGGCAAATGATCCACGCCGTCAAAACGAACTTCTCTTAATGGCCTTTGCTCCATCTTCAATTTTTTGGTGATTGGTGGTGTACAAGATTCATTATTGCTTGATGGACGTCCTACCTTTTTTTTTATTGGTATACCTGCATGTATAAGGGCTTCTGCAATGTACATTCTAAAACTAATCAAATCCAACAATTTGTTTTTGGGAACATTTATTATTCTGGATTTCTCTTTGTATTCTAACCAGGAATTTACACAGGCTATATCTATCGCATGGGTGAACATTCTAAGTGTCCACTTTTTACTTCTTATGAATGTTCTATAAATACTTATGAGGAAGTCTAGTTTGTCGACTCCGCCCATACATTCATTGTATAATTTTACAACTTCTGGTCGAGCTATGTGAACGTATTCTTTAGCAGATTTGTCCCATCTCTTACATTGGTCAGTTGTACCAACACTTACAAAATTTGATGACATAATCACTGGTTTGTTATCATACCATTTTGTAAGAATAATACCATCCTTACTAAGAACTTCCTCAGAAGTACCTCTAGGCTGCTTTTTTAATATTTGGTCAGATGTAAAAGGAGGATTTTGAAAACGGTTAACTCTAGCTGTACTTGCTGCATATATGTTCTTACTTTTGAGATATTGAAGTAGATTGTAACTCGAAAAATAGTTATCATAATAAAGTTTTACGTAATCTATGTTTATTCTTTCACATAATTTAATTACTGTAGCAGCACCAGCCCCAAATATACTGATATTTTCTTTATTCACTTCAGTAGTTTCTCCTTGATAAATAATAAAATCATAAAGTAATCCGCTTTTTCCACACAAAGCAAACAATTTTACGCCCCAGGGGCACGGTTTACCTTTTATATATTGCTTCACGTTTAACTGCCCTTTGAATGGTATTATCTGTTCGTCTATACACAAATTGGCCTCGAGATCTAATGTATTACATCTCGACTTTATTGCATTATACAACGGTCTTACTTTCCATAAACGATCTTGGTTGTTTCGGTCTTGCTCTAAATTGTTAACAAAATGTAAATTTTGTCTCAATTTGTAAAATCTATTCACATTCATATTTTCTCTGATAATTGGGATGCCTAATTTGGAATCCCAATAGAATCGGGTCCTGGGATAATGTAAGTTACCCATCATGATATGAATGCCGATAAATAATCTAATCTCTAACAGATTTGTAGGAGCAAAGTTGTTAACGTTGTTTTGAACCGCGTATAAATTTGTCATTTCAACCATAGTATTACAGAGGTCATCATTAAAATAGTTGCAAAAATATTTGATTGGGGATAGTATCTCAACTATTTCAGTATCAATAGGTTTGTACCATGGTAATGGTGGTGTTAAATATTGCACATTTTTCATCCACTCTATATTCTCTTTATAAGTGAGACCGTTTGCTTCACAATATTGTTTCATATATGCCTTAGATTTATATTTATTAATTTTTGTTCTATCTTTATCTTCTTTAGGACCTTCAACCAATTCGTCTCGTTTTTCGTCTTCACCTACTTTATTTTGTTCTTCGGTGTCAGATTTCTGTTCTTCAGATCTTTCGTCATTATCTAAAATTTATTTATATTGTCTAAACATGGTATTACTTGATCAATATTGCTTACCTTCTAAATCAGAATGATCAACATCTGAGGTATCCTGTGACTTCTGTAATTCATCATCTTCCTCATCATCGCTCATAACTTCAATATCTGACAAATTATTGATAATATCAAGAAGTTCAGCTTCAGTAAGTGGCTTTCTAGACATGTTTTCGAAATAAGAAATCTGAAAATTAAATAACCTTTGAGTCACCATGTTCGTTTAAAATAACACATGATTTTTTGTATAAAACTATATAAAGTAGCTAATATTTTTTATGTTTTTGTACATACATATAAAAACTAACAATTAAGTACCTATAAAATAATTTTAAAATTATATTTTAACTTACCTAATAAGTTTAAACACAAAGGAAATATCACGAATTGCAGCTAACCTCAAAATGTGTGTTACCATGCGCTACTTATCAACCAAACTGAGCTGTTCGGAACAAGCGTGACACTGTGACTTGTATAACGTGCAGAGACGATGTTCGTTTAGAGGATCATGGTGATTCAACGTAAAAAATAGGAATTAGCTATCGTTGGCGCTTATGAAAAGTTGATGTTCGTTTAAACGAACATGGTGACTGAAAGGGTTAAATCACTTTTCTTATGATATTGTTTACTCTCTTCTTAGAGTGCCCTTTTTGTATCCTCTTTTATTTATTTTTCCTTAACTATAATAAAGATTTATTCCATAATGCCTTTCACATATTTGCTCCATACAGTAATAATTGTTGTGTACATTAATAGAGTGATCTTTATTTTTTTCGTCTTCAACTGTTCTTTCTTTCCTCAGCCACTATAAACCTGAGATTTAGTCTTTGTAATACTCCTCTAATGTTGGAGACTTTTTTCTGAACTTTAAACATCCACCCATGCCTGCACTTCATAAGAATATGGAATGCATCACCAAGCACAGCAATTTTTTGCACTTAACAACTTTGCTACACAGTGCATTATGATTCTCAGGTACCCCTGTACCATGTATTTCAACTAAAGGTTGAAAACTGTCACTCGTATTCATGACAACCTGTAATCCCTAACACAGTTTTCACACGTATTAACAAAACTGGTTCTGATTTTTGTAAAGCCAGATCCAGTGCCTTTTCATTCATCAACAGTGTAATCTGCTTAATCACTTTATTCATCTTCCCTTTCAATTCTTCCATTCCAGCCACAGCCAAGATTGTCAGTGTAAAAACTGGATGCTTACACAGCACAGTATATGTTCTACAAGATGTGGGACACATATACTTATAATGAAGCTCTCTTTAATATATCTATAAAAGATATACTCTGCCTAGGATAGGCCACCCACATTCTCAGCATCTGGTATAAAAAATAGTTCTAAACAATCGCCATATACTGTGCAGGGTTCCAGGTAATTTCTAACTGGGTATCTTGCCTCAATGGAATCCACAATTTCTTAACTCGACCCTAGTATTCTGCCATTCCAATAGCATTTTTAATAGTTACTCTTAGCCCTGAATCAGTGATATAACTCTCTATTCTCCCCAGTTAAATGTCAGACTTTGATCCATCTTGTCTTCTCCCCAGCTTTAAGTTTAATGAGTAGATCCCCAGAATGTTTTTTTTAGAGACCTAATCATCATATCTATCTCCTCCACACTTATACCAGTCCTTAATGAACCTAACTACTATGCATAAGAGGTGCCTTCCTCTCCTTAATTAGCATAGCCTCTCGCATTATTCTATTATCTGTTCTATGGAATTCCTCCCAGAGCATAATCTCAATCTTGTTACTTTACCATATGACTACTGCCAAAGACAGTATCAGGCCAGATCTTCCAGGCTGGAGATATAAATCTGTAATCTGAACCAGTTTGTAGTCTGCTGCACCACTCTCTGTCTGGATTTACAACTCTTTCAGTGGCAATCTCCTACTTACTATGCCTATATTCTGTAGATTCCATTCAATATTTTCCCATCCTGCTTCCTGTATCCTTGCATCAGATTATTTGCATGTTTTATGCTAATGCAGTCTTTTTAAGTATGAATACTTCTGATACCAGTATATTTATACTAGTGGTGGCTTCGTGTGCTATAATATAGCATCTTCTTTTCACTGATAACCTTAAGACCATTCTCGTTCTCACTTACTTTTTTTATTTTTGGTTTTATAGTGTTCTTCATATTATTTCTCAAGAGTCAAACCTAAAAATTGAGTGGACCAGTGCACCTATATCACACCAAAGCCATATTCTCCTCCACTATATTTTCTTTGTATTAGTTGAGGTTACCTTTTTGGGCATGGGTTTGGATATTAGGAAGTAGATGAAAGATAGGTGTGGTAGTTTGAAGAGTGAAAAGAAAGTGGCCATCTGAAGTCTAATACTTAGTGATTCCAAGTAAGAAGAGGCTAAGAAAGGTCACTGATAAAGATTAAGACATTTTACTCACAGCAAGTAAATAGTGAAGGACCTTGATCCATTATGTGCAATGGCTAATGACAATTATTAGCTTACAGATCTGGGTATTGACTACAGGCAGTTTGGCACATTCAGCATGAAGAATAGAGGGCACATTATTTCGAAGTATAAAACTTGTACATTTCAACTCCATGGCCTGATTTTTATTGTTAAGTGATTTTTTAGTATCTTTGGTACATAATAGACAGTAATCTAAGCATTTTAATAACTTCTTTTTTGCATCAACATTAAAATCATTTAATATCTTTAATACAAAAGAATAATTCACTTATTAAAATTATATTGTTATGTTAAGTTAAAATTTGTGATTTATTGTTTTTATAGACAAAGTGAACAAGATATACAAGCAAGACGAGCAGATCATTTTTCACATTTTATCCTTAGGCTTGCATATTGCCGATCAGATGATTTAAGGAGGTGGTTTTTAAGTAGGGAACTTGAGTGGTTTAAACTGAGATTTATTGTTCAAAACCAACAAGGAGTTATGAAATTTTTACAACTGAATAATCTTACCTATGATCCAATATCATCAGATATTAAAGAAAAACTGAAGCAAGAATTGTTGGCATCTACATCTGGTAAGTGAAGTTTTTGTTGTTCTTGATCTTGATTGACAATAGCAATATTACTTCTACATTTAAGTTTCAATTTGCAATATTTACCAATACATTAATATTTTTCACTAATACACATATATTTGGATAGGTATGATAATTTTACAATTCTTGACCAATCACATTTTCTTGATGTAAGAATTATTCATACAAATTTATTATTATTAATTTATATTTTTATAATAATAATAATAAAGGTCTTTATTTTTCCTTCAAATTCATACAATCTTCTTCTTAAGGTTCCATCTTCTAACGAAGGTTGGATATCAACATGGCAATTCTTACTTTACTTACAGCAGCTCTAAATAGTTGGCTAGAGCTCAGACTAAACCATTCCCTTAGATTTCGTAGCCAGGAGGTTCGTCTTCTTCCTACATCTCTTTTACCTTTTATTGTTGCCCTCTATAATCAAACGTAGTAGCCCATAACGAGGACCTCTTAATATATGACCGAAATATTCAAGTTTCCGCCTCTTAATTGTCTGTACAATTTCTTCCCTCTTATTAACCCTATCAAGGACTTCAATATTGGTAATTTTGTCTACCCATGCTATTCGTAGCATCCTTCGATAACACCAACGCTCAAAAGCTTCCAATTTCTTAATCTCCAGTTGTTTCAATGTCCATGCCTCAGATCCGTAGAGCAAGTTGTAAAAATGTAGCAGCGCAATAACCTTATCCTTAGATCCATTCTTAGGTCTCTACTACACAATAGATGTTTCATTTTTACAAATTTTGCCCTTGCTATTTCTATACGGCTTTTAATCTCTTGCGTTTGTTCTGCGTTTTGACTAACCAATGTTCCTAGATATTTGTATTTATCTACCCTTTCTATCTGGATATTATTAATATGGAGTGTCTCGTTGTCTTTTGGATGTTTTGTAATGACCATGAATTTTGTTTTCTTTAAGTTCATTTTAATACCATACATACAATACACAAAATATATAAATTATATATGCATACAATAAGAAAGAAAAAATGACGAAGATCAGTTGGTGCTGATTTCAAGAAATCAGTACCTCTGCTTTTCATCTTAAGCAAGAGAGAAAAAAAATATAATTGTATTTTTTTGCATGTTCTGTAACAATCAATTAAAAACCATAACTAATAGAAACATTTAGCATTTAAATATTGTCCAAGAACTATCACAAAGTTTATATATACTTCATAACAGGTCATCCAATAGTTGCACATGTGTTACTCACTTAGCAATTTAGATTTAAGAGATTTCTTAAAAGATATAATCGATTTTAATTCTTTAGCTAATCCATTATATACTTTTGATATTTGATATGTAAATGAGTTTTTGAATTGTTCTGTACGATGTGGCGGAGCTGTAATTGTATTTTTGTATATTGTATTGACATTATGTATATATAAGTTCTGTATATATAGGTACACTGCGCTCCAAAATTAACGCATAATTTTAAAATTCTTATTTTGAGTTATAATGAAAAAATTTTTGTTTGTTCTTTTCTGCTTTATGGTTGTTTTAGAACATCTTAAATAAAAAACTTTTCTTTTTTTACAAAAAATGTATTGAAATTAACAATATAACATCATAAATCTAAACATCTAAACAAACAACTGATCTAAACAAACCAACATTATAAATTAATGACGAAATTGAAATTTTTAAAGTTGAAGAAAATACTAGTACCGTGTACTAGTATCGAGTATTGCCTCCTCTGGTAGTTATTACTGCTTGACAACGATCTCTCATACTGAGAATAATCGTTCGATTTCTTCTTGATCAATTTGATCCCAAATTTCAACCAACCGCAAAAACAGCTCACCTAATGTGTTTGGTGCATTAGGTAGTTGTCGTAGTCGTCTGCCTATGATGTCCCAAACATGTTCTATTGGGTTGAGGTGAGGACTTCTTGCAGGCCAATCCATGGCAGGAATTCCAACCTCCTGACGATACTGCTGCACAATTCTTGCCGTGTGTGGCCTGACATTATCTTGCATAAGCATGAAATTATCCCCAATAAATGGTGCAAATGGCACGGCATGCTCTTCTAAATTGTCTGTTATATACCTCTGCGATGTAAGCCGACCGCGATCTATTCTAACTAATTCCACACGAGCCTCTAAATTAATCCCACCCCACACCATTAACAAGCCGCTGCCATACTGTACAGTCCCTACGGCGTTACACTGTGCGTAGCGTTCCCCAGGCCTTCTGCACACTCGGTTTCTCCTGTCATCAGAAAAAAGACAGTACCCGGATTCATCGGTGAACAATATTCTTCCCCAATCGTCATTATTCCAATCAACATGTTCACGCGCAAAATGCAATCTTTGCCTTCTATGGTCTCTGGTCAACAATGGGCCAATTGGTGCCCTTCCAGGGTGTAGGTCGTTTTCTGCAAGTCTTCTTCTAATCGTATTTTGGCTGATTCTAAAGTTATAACGATCCAAAAAATTCATTTTGTAGAGAAGTACTGATAACAAATCTTTGTCTCAGTGTACGAAGTGTCAAAACCGGTCTTGATTAGGAGTTGTAACCCTTCTACGGCCTTGACCGGGTCTTCCCTAGTTACTTCCAGTAACAGAAAAACGTGTTAACACTCTTGAAATGGTTGACTGGGTGACGTTAAAACGTTCAGCGAGTTCTACTTGAGTGTATCCTTCTTCGCGAAGAGTAACGATTCTAAAACAGTCACTTTCTGACAAATTTCGATTTTCTTGCTGCTGGTGGTTCATTTCAAAGAAAAAACACTTAATAAACTTGAAAAACCCCTTTAAACGTTCAGCATAACGTAATCCAACTCAACTAAATTAGAAATAAGATGAAGCACAATTGACATGTTTTTAATTTTTTTTGCAAAAAATCGTAAAAACATCAGCGTTTTTTACCGTTCTTTCGATAAATTTTACAATATACCGGGGGTAACAATAATATATTAGCACCAAAATCGAAACGTTAAAATTATTTGATTTACCAGGGTTTTTAAAATTATGCGTTAATTTTGGAGTGCAGTGTATTTTTTAAAAAGATATGCTGGTAGAGAGTTTTTGAAATTTTGTGGAAAAGACAAGCAGCATGTAGAAATCTTCACTTTTCCATGCTCAACCATTTTACATGTTTCAATGTTTTAATTTATGAGAAATAGGTTACACCACAGATTAGATGAAGACACAAATTTTGAACCACCTGAATTCTTCTCCTGTCATCTGAACTAATACAAGTCCCATACACAACATCTCCATAGTTAAATTTTGATAATACTAAACTTTCGCACAGTATTCTTTTTACTTTTTATGACAGACAGCGGCGATTATGATAAATTGTTCTTAGACTGAGAAATGCTATACTCACAATCAATTTGAGCTGATTATCTAAAGTTAAACCTAGATTTTTTGCACTAGTTACAGGTTTAATGATCTCATTATCAACAACTATTTCAATGATGTTACCCATCTCCAAACACACCCTGTTTGAACCAAAAACCACCAGATTAGTTTTTTTAGAGTTTATATTTAATGCATGGTTTCTTGCCCAAGCAATCAATGATTTAATATCTTGATTAACAATCTCAATAGCACTTGCTCTGTCAACCGGGTAAAATGAGTGGTAAATTTGTGTATCATCTGCATAGAGATGAAATTTATAGGTATTCAGGGAGGTATCAATATTGGTGGTGTATAAAGTAAATAAAATTGGACCTAAGATTGAGCCCTGACGTACCCCTGACAAAATGTTTAGAAAAGCAGAGCTTCTTTCGTCTACTTTGACGCTATGTTTCCTGTGATGCAAGTATGACTTAACCATATTCAATGCATCCATGGAAAAGCCGATTGACTTCAAAATTGCACAGAGTAGTGAATGATTGAGTGTCAAATGCCTTAGAGAAATCGATCAAAGCTAAAATGGTAACCTTACCCACATCTCTTTCTCTCAAATCATCATCAGTTATTTTAAGGAGTGCTGTTTTACAGTTGTGAAATGGCCTAAGTCCGGACTGAAAATTGGTTAAGATATTATTGTTAGAAATATAATCACCAAGCTGCATTTGCATAATGCGTTCTAACACTTTTGATAGAGTAGGCAGAATACTAATAGGTATAATATCCTTATATTCGGTTGGATTGTTACATTTAGCTATGGATCTAATTATTGCTTTTTTCCATTCATCTGGAAAATAATTTCTCGAGAGGCAACAGTTCATTAACCGAAATAATTGGGGGGTAGGCCGTTTCGGTTAACAAGAATTTCGGTTAAAAATAACATTTTTTATAGATTTCTTGGTCAAAGTATTGGTATTAAAAATACTATGAGGTGATTTCGTAATGTTTTCTAATAAGTAAATACAAAATAAAGTAATAAAATTAAGGAAAATGAACAAGTTTAACATGCTTTTGTAAAGAAATCTTCTATTTTCTTTTGCGTTTTCATTTGACAACGATGTTTTGCAGCTATATCTCTCCATCGTTTATTTGCAGAAAGTCATGAGTTTGCCTTATTCGGTTGTTCGACGAAAAGTAAAGCAATCTGTAAAGGACAAAACTTCATGCAATGACAACAAAAATTAAGAACCTAGTCGTGTCCCTAACTAATTAGGCCTACTATATAAATGTCTTACCTCTAGGCATTGAAAATCTCTGATACGATTAGGTCGTCTGGATGAAGAACCATATCAATGATGTCCTGGTCGATAAGTTCACTTTCTGAGTCATCGGCTGCTCACGTATCTCTTCTTTGTTAATTTCGTCAGATCCCGGCAAATTTTTTATTATGTTTAATTTCTTCTGTCGTTTCTTTATCATTTTCTTCTTAAAGATCGTCAATCAAAATCCCATCAAAAAGTTTGTTTCTGTATTTTTCTAGAGTTGAAGATTTGATCTTGGCCCACGACTCAGCACACCAATAAACAACATGTTTCATTGCTAAAGATTTGAGAATTTCGGGAACACTTTTTAATTCATTCGTCTTTAGTAATAACAGATGTCTTAAGAATGCTACTTTATAATGTCCCTTGAATGTCTCTATTACTCCCTGGTCTAACGGCTGAATTAAGCTCGTGACATTCGGTGGCAAAAATCTGACAATTGTCACTATTTTGTAGATTTTGAGGATGAGTTCGGCGCATTGTCAACAAGCAACAATGCTTTGATGGGAAGTTTTTTTTATTTTAAAAAGGATTTTACACTTGGAACGAATTCATTTTCGAACCATTCTGAAAATAAAGTGGTCGACATCCATGAGCTTTTTTGTCTTCTATAAAAAACTGGAAGTGCTTTTTTGTAAACATCTTTTAGAACTCTTGGTTTTTTTGATTTCCCAACACACATAAGCATCAATCGGTAGTAAAATTAATAGAATTGTCTACGTTTTGCGATCAAAATTTACTTTTTATTGACGAAATTATTGAAACTGTCAGCCGTTTCGGTTAAACGATGTTTCGGTTAAGGGAGGTTTTACTGTATGCGTTTTATAAGGAATGATTAATGGGCAACATTGAATTAACATTTTAAAGTTTAAACCTCTGAACCTAGAGCATTAATTTAAATAAATAAATAAATAAAATAATAAAATAAAAACAAGTTTTTGAAAATTCAGGAATGTGTTACATCTTTAATCAGTATAAAATAGAACAGAAATAAAAAAATTTTTTTTTTAATTTTTTATTTTTGCATTACAGACTAAAATATAAAAGAGTCTTTTTTTCCTTTTTGCCTATTTTGTACCTAAGAATGTTTAGATGACCATTCTGTCCAGCTACCTTGGTAATATTTGGCACTAAAACAGTTTAAATTATGTTCAATTAAAATTTTTAAACATTAAAATGTGTATTAAATACATTTAATATATTTTTTTAAATATATTTGTTTGTAAATTGCCACAAGAAAATATTTTTTAAAATAACTTCTGTATAATCTAATCATACACCTAAAAACTAATAAATCTCCAGGAACTGATGGTATAATCGCGGAACTTATTTAATGTGGAGGTGCTACTCTGACTAACCATATATATAAAATCATATTGAGAGCCTGGAATGAGGAACAAATCCCGGAAGAGTGGTGTATTGGGATCGTTTGCCCGCTACACAAAAAGGGTGATCAATTGGAATGTAGAAACTATAGGGGAATAACCCTCCTTAATACAGCATACAAAATATTTTCGAGTATTTTATATAGTTGCCTGAGTGCATATTCAGAGGAGCTTCTTGGCGAATATCAAAGTGGTTTTAGGCCTGGTCGATCAACAACAGACCAGATCTTTGTGCTAAGGCAAATACTGGAAAAAACCAATGAATTCAATATCGACACATACCATCTTTTCGTAGATTTTAAATCGGCCTATGATAGTGTCCTAAGAAATAAATTGTATGAAGCCATGGATGAATTCCACATCCCCGATAAACTGATAAGATTGGTTAAGGCTACAATGCGTAAAGTTGTTTGCAAAGTCGAAATACAGGGCGAACAATCACAGGCATTTGAAACGCATGTTGGGCTGCGACAGGGAGATGCGCTGGCGTGTCTCCTTTTCAACATAGCTCTGGAAAAGGCAGCCCAAATAGACAACAGAGGAAAATCATCCCAAATTTTGGCATATGCAGATGATGTTGACCTAGTTGCCGCACAACACGCAAACTAGAAGAAATGTATACCACCTTGTCAAATGCCTCAAAAAATATGGGCCTGCAAGTAAATGAGGAGAAAACTAAGATAATGGCATCAACACCCAACAATAGAGCCAGAAACATCGGCCACCAATTCACTGTTGATAACTCTACCTTTGAAGTGGTGGACAAATTCACATACTTAGGCTCCCTGATCACCAAGGAGAACGTCATGACGGAAGAAATCAAGCGAAGAATAATCCTAGCAAACAAATGCTATTTTGGATTGAGTAGACATATGAAAGCAGAAACTTAAGCCAAAAAACAAAAATAACCATATACAAAACCCTTATACAACCAGTGTTGACATATGGATCGGAGACATGGACCATTTCCAAGGCAGATGAAAACCTCCTGCTTATATTTGAACGAAGGATCCTGAGAAGAATATTCGGTGGCATCTGTGAAAATGGTGTTTGGAGAAGGAGGTACAACTACGAGATATATCACTGATATAAATATATATTTGGTGGTAAAGACGTAGTATCTTATAAAAATACGAAGACTAAGATGGGCAGGACATCTGGCAAGATCACAGCAAAACAACCCTCCTAGAAGAATCCTTATGTCACAACCTGTGGGAAGTAGAAGTAGGGGTAGGCCAAAACTCAGATGGAGGGATGGTGTAGATGAGGATGGTAGAAAAATAGGCGCAGCAAACTGGCAACAGTTGGCAATGGATAGAACTGACTGGCGTAATAGACTTGGGAAGGTCGAGGCTCTTTTATAGGACTGTAGCACCAATGATGATGATAATCTAATAGTACTTGAAGATATAATTTTTTTCTGTAATAATGTTGCCAAATATAGTATTGTAAAACATACTTTTTAAATCCAAGTGATTCTGCCAATTCTGCTGCTTTTGCAGCACGTCCTCCTCTCATGCAATAGAATATTAAAGGAGAATTTGCTTCTGGTTTTGGACGTCCATAGTTATTTTGGAAAGCTTCACTCGAGGTATCCTTTAAAACATCTTTGACAGTTCCCACTAAAATCAAATAATCAGTAGACAATTTCAACAAAAAATGTATTCTTGTATTTGTTGAGCAATATTACGGAATATGTAGGCCTTTGATATCAATTGTTATGTCAATCGTTCATTTTACGAGGACTGAGTGAATCATTGGCTTACTCCTAATATGATCATATCATTTCAATCGTTATTTGAAAGCAAATGAAACATAAAAATTCAGTTTCTTGGGAATATTTTGAAAGAGTCATTGTCAGAAACATATAAGTCCTACCGCACCTTATTAATAGTTGAAATAAACTTACTGTTGCAGAGTTTTAATAGAAAAAAATAATAATAATCATGAATAATTATCATATGTCATATAATAAATAACTTAAAAAACAAGCATAACTTAATTAAATATTAAGCACAACTTAATTAAATATGTTTCATCAGAGATTTCTCTTCCTCTTTCCTTTATAGTTAATGCTTCTTTCAGGCAAGGTAAATTTCCTCAAAGTTTAAAACTGGCAATTTTCAAGCCACTACATAAAAAAGGTAATGTTACTAATCTGTAATGCGATTTGGAATAGTTTTCTGGGGGGAAGTGGTAACGCTGACCAGGTTTTTATATTACAAAAAAGAGCAATCAGAACTCTACTTAACTTGAAATATAGAGATTCATGTAGAGGTAAAAAAAATGAGATGCACTTCCATTATTTATGATTATTCTTCTTTTTTCAGTGCAAAACGGCTGCACAGTAAGTTTATTTGGAATATTATTAGTGAGATGTATGAATTCTTGTTTGTATGTTTCCTACAATGAATCTGTCAAAATATTCTCAGCTGAGTGCACAAGCTATACTAAATTTGATAGTCAGTTGGGACTGAGTCCCATGAACAGTTATAATCAAATTAATTGTTGACATCTTTTAATATATGATATTACATTATCACAAATAAGGCTAAAGAATGGTTTATAAATTCTAACACTCACTGAAAAAATTGATATCTTTAAAGCATTGAAGATGTATTGCAATATCTCCTAACAAAAAATAAGGCTCACAAATGTATGATGTGAAATGAATTCAATGATAGGATTGAATGAGAAGAGTCTATGTAAACTTAAAATTATAGCCAGATAAGGAGAGAATTTAAAGACAGGATAGACCAGAACATCTAAACCAATTTAGCTGGTGTCTGAAAAAGCAAGAAAAGAACAGCATCTAATGTAAGAAAATAACTTTAAATAAGTAATTTATGATTTTTTCTTAGAAATTGATCTATATTCAAATATTTAAACATACTGCCGAATTTCTTTTGATAATTTCTGCCTCAGTGGCAGATGAAACATCAGGAACAAATAATTCCAGTCCAGGGACTATAAATACAGGAAAAAAATGTATTATTATAAGGATCCTAGCCAAAAAAAATGTATTATTATATAAGGATCCTCTACAACAAAATTAAGATGTCTTGACATGACTAGTTTGTTTGCACTATTTACTTACAGGGTATATTAATACTTTTTCCAATCAAACCTGATGATTTTACTTCATCTGGTTCTCTAACATCCACAATCCACACATTGTTATCATTTGCAACTTTTTCTACTTCATCTATATTAACAATTTTATCCGCCATGGTTGTAACCAAGTTTCGAACTATTCTAATATTTAATCGTTTGTTGACTAAATTAAATAACATTGACGTAAGCTAAATAAATAATATATTCCAAAAATCGATAAATGTGGTTGTATTTTAATTTATTGATTGGTTTGCCGACAGTTAAATAAATCTTGGAGAACAGGTTATGTTATGGATGAATTGATAAAGAAGGCCATGAATATTTGAATTTACGGCACATGCGCTATGCGCGGTACTGCTTGAACAGAGTTGGACTTAACAATAATTTAAAAGAAAAAATTAACTTTAAAAAAAATACGAAACTACAATATTTTTTTTTAATTTAAATTAGCTTAAAAATCACCGTATTGTATTGTATAATATTGCAAATCCGTAATTGTTTAAGGTTTTTGGTACGTCCTTCAGAGTGTGTACGTGCGACTACTTTTTAGGAGAATATCAAATAGGTATATCAAATTTGGGGTCAAATGATATATAATTTGTAGAAATAAATATAATTATACTACATATAGTTCTCATATCTTTCCTTAAATCCTGCTGTGTGCTTGTGCCGATTGTGAATTATCCAATTATGTAGGCACTTTCTATGAAATTAAGATCACATTTTATTACAATTTGAGTTAAAACAAAAACAAAACTTGCGTTTAGTTACTTTTATATAAACTAATATAAATTGGTTTATTTGATGACGTCATTATTTCCATTCCGGAAATCGTTTCCAAAAAGAATATTTATAGTCTAATTGTCAGAGATGAAAATACCATTGAACCTCTAAAAATCATACGAACAAGCTGAATTTTGCTGAGAATGTCAATTTTGGGACCCAAAAAAGATCCAAAGAAGTTTTCCACTCCTTCTACCCGACTTTCCCTTAAAACTGCCCGTAGTTATAGAGGGGTGGGACAAACGGAAAAAATCGATTTACCAAGAATCTGTACGCTGTAGAAAAAAATGTTTCAAATAAAACATGTAGCTAACATAATTTTGAACAAATATATTTATTAGCACTTGTTGTGTAGAATGAACCGTTCGCTCATAAACAACGCTTGGAGCGACCGGCGATTTTGAATGTCAGTTACGCGCGCGAAATCAATTTTAAATTAAATTTGTATCAACTCTACGATAAAAATTCGATATCTTTTGATCAGTCTCTTATCGACAGTCAGTTTTTATAAATCTGTTAAATAAATGTTGCGCGATTTTTCCATTGATCGGTTACTATGAAATTTTCATTGTTAGAGGCTAATCTTTAAAACCTATAGCATGAAATTTCGGTTTTGAGTTTTGGCAACAAACGTCAGGCATTTGAAATATGCCTAAAAACGCTGAATTTAAACTTTCACGATCTTTTTTACAAACGATCTAAAATCTTTAAAGCGATTACGCAAGTAAGTTTTTCGTAATTGAATAACTTCAGCTACAAATTGCACTCATTACTATCTTCGTCGAAGCATTTCCCGTAACGTGCGATAGATTGTAATGCAAAAGTTTTGCTATTTTTAGGCATATTTCAAAAGCCTCATATTTGTTGCCAAAACTTAAACTCGAATTTTATGTTATTTGTTATAGGTGCAATGGAAGTGATACATTTTATATTTAGCAGATTTATAGAAACTGACTTCATTTGCGGCAAAATGCAAAAATTGCATACGAAAGCTGCATTCTTTACCTTTAAAAGGCATTTTAATTTTTGTCGATGGGACAGTCTGATCATTTGCTCTTATGTTAAATCGTGGTCCAGTTTTGTAGACTATCTTTATCTTGGGCTGTCAATATTGCGTCGTCTGCGTAAGAGTATTTTTACTTCTTTGTTCCCCATTCTGTATACTCTTCCTTTGGTAACGCTTTTGATGATTTCACTCATGATTAAATTAAAAAGCATATGGCTTTATGAGTCTAATTGTCTTATTCTGCTGCCTATTTCTATAGCCTCTGTAAGTTTTCCATCTATTCTGACTTCCATTTTGTTGTTTTGGTAGATGTTTTCAATAGTTTTTATAATATTTAGGGAAACTTCTTTATTATACAGAAGATGGATTATATTTTTGAGTCTTACTCTGTCAAATGCTTTCTTTAAGTCAACCAGGCACAGAAATTCTAGTCTATTATGCTCTAGTGATTTCTCAGTAATTTACTTTATGGCGAATATTGCATCTGTACACGATCTTCCACTACTAAAACCCTGTTCTTCATCTGCTGAACTTATCCTCTGATTCATTATTTTGTGTAATATTTTAGTTGTAAGTTTTAGGGTAATACCTAATAATGGTAATATAGTAATTTAGGGTAACAAGTTTATACCTCTGTAGTTTTCTGGCTGTTTTTTATCTCATTTTTTGAGTAGTAGAATTATTTCGCTTGTTCTCCATTCTTCCAGTATTTGATTGTATTTTATAATTTTATTTATTAATGTTGTTAATTGATCTGGCATTGCTGCTCCATAATATTTCAGTAATTCGTTTGGTATCCCATCTTTATCTGCTGCTTTTCCGTTTTTTAGCTTTTCAAGTTTATCATATTGGTATTTTTTTTATTGTATAATGGCTGTGGCATACTTGTGGTAGCCATATCGTTCTATAGATCTTCTAGTTGGTTCTGTCTTCTTTCTTATAACTTGGTAGAATATGTTGCAGTTTCGCAACTGTGTAAACTAAACTAAACATTTGTAATATATTAACAGACTTTTTAGTAGTTTTGATTCTCCCCTATATTTAGCCAAGATTCGGTGTACAGGGGCACAGCGGTTTTAAAAACTAAACATTACAAGACGAGCCATCTACAGAGTGGCACAGACGTGTGTTTGAGATAAGAGACAAGTTCCATATGCCAAATCAGATAGACGAGTTTTATCTCCCAAACGTGTGTTTGGCCAAAATAACAGCGGTTAGCCACGCATATTCTTTTTTTTTATCTCGTTGGATGTGTTATTTTTGTAGTCTACCAGTGATCCTAAGTAGCAGAATTCTTCTACCATTTCTATCGTTTCGTGTTGCACCTCTAAGTTATTTTGTTGAATTTTTAATATGGCCGGCATATATTTAGTTTTCTGGATGTTAATCAGAAGTCCGATGTTTTCTGCGGCATTTTTGATACGTGTGAAAGCCTCCACTGCTTCATTTTGGGTTCTTCCAATTATGACGATATCATCAGCGTATGCCATTATTTGTATACTACGGGTATATATCGTACCTTTTAAGTTTATTCCCGAATCTCTCATAACTTTTTCTAACGCTAGGTTGAACAGCGTGCACGATAGCGCATCTCCCTGGCGCAGTCCTCTGTTGGTTTTAAATGGTTTTGAAACATCCCCTTGTACGCGCACTTTACATTCGACTTTCATCATTGTCATTTTAATTAATTCTACCAAACCTTTTGGTATTCCTAATTCGATCATCGCCGAATATAATTGGGACCTGTCAATAGTATCGTACGCTGCCTTAAAGTCTAAGAAGATGTAATGGCAGTCTATGTCGTACTCCGTCGTTTTTTCTAATATTTGTCTGATGGATGATATGTGATCAATGGTAGATTTGTTTTTCAAGAAGCCTCTTTGGTAGGATCCTATTATATTGTCAGTATACCGTGCCAGTCGTTCGTTAAGTATCAGGGACACAATTTTGTATGCTATCAAGTACGTTTACTTGGTGCTAAATTATTCCATATTGTGTCGCAGTTTTGAACCTTTTGAACTTTATTTTGAACATTTTACTTTCTTGCTTTTATACATTTTAAACCTTTTTACATTTTACTTGTTACTAATTGTATTAATTTCATTATTAATTTAATGTGTATTTTATTACTGATTATACCTTTGAATTGATTTTATTAATATTTGTATTACGTTCAATATAATTCATATATTTTATGTCTGATTGCATTTTGTGTCGCTTTTATCAACAAGGTTTGTTCATTTTACCACGGATTAATTATATTATTATATGTGCGCATATTTTTTACTCTTTAACGTCTAATATTAATTTATGCGTTATTTCTAATCATACTCAACCATAGCAATCGAATTCTCAAAGGCCTTTGTTGTTGTCTGTTTAAAACCTATCCATCGACATATTTATCCGTAATTAGGTTGGTTTTTTGTAATATTATTAATTTTTCTTTTAGTTGTTAAAATAGAATTTCATATAGTTCTCTGGCTTTCATTTTTTTTATTTTAATATTGATAAAAAAAACCGAATTGGTCTAGATTGAATATAGACATTCTTCTTCCTTTCTGAGGACCTCAATTGTTATATAGATGTCATTGTATGTGCAGAACGCAACAGAATAAGATCATTTTCCCAACCTTTGGGTAATTTATTTTGCTCAACGTTTCATTACATATGATCCAAAACCAGTCTATTTCATCATTTCTGGTTCTATTTTATCTTCCACTCCAGCTTTCCCGTTTTTAATTCTTTTTGTTCCTTCGATGACTCCTTTTTTTCTATTCTCCATGTCCTGTTCTCTTCTTCCCTTGATCTTAATATTTCATTTAAGTTCAGGTTTATGTGTTCTTGTAATTTAAATTTACAGGTGTAATATTCTTTCCACAAAAAAATTATTTCAAATCCTTTATAAAAGGTATATAATAAAATGCCCAAACGGGCTATCACAATTACATTACAATTGAAATAAATTTTTTGTGATATATGGTATACAGCCAGCTGCAGGAACTTAGTTTCCTAGTGGATGCTTTCCACACTTTTACCACTTTGTTTGGTTTATGTTGTATCTTGTTATTTCCATAATTTATGCCATATATTTCTATTTCTTTTGCCCTCTTAATGCTTTGATCTTATTCCGAAAGGATCCACATTGTCATTTTATAACCTTCATGTAACCTGTTCTCAAATTTCTCCCAGGATTTTTGTTTTGCATTTCTTACTGGCTTTTTTGCAGTTTTGTTTTTATTATAATAACTTTGTCTCTCCTGTTTGCACGTATCTTTTCCATGCATATTTTTTTATCAGTGATAGTCGATTTTACTCGATTTGTACACCACCTGGTTTGCTTTAGGTTTAATATTGTTCTGAAGCTATTTTCTTGTGGCATTTTAAAGTAATTACTATTGAAGTTGTTACGACTATTTTGCTTACCACAGGGTAAGAATATGGGGGACAAGATTGGGCAAACAAAATAATCGAAACAAGTGCATACGACACTCAGTTGGTTGTTGGAGAGCTGGGTCGTGGATAAGTTGAAGATATTGGGGGTTAGATTGGGGCAACTACAAAAAAAGAAATAAAGGGGTACTTATACAAATCTCTTGGGACAAACAGAATGAAAATAAACGGAAACACCTCAAGAAATTTAATATAGGGCGCCACTTGAGGTGCCCAATTATACCTATTACAACCACTAGTTGTAACTAGGGAAATAATTGTATAACATCAAAAATATAGAAAAAAAATATCTTTTTCAAATAAAACTCAAAATAGATCAGAGAAACAAATTGAACGTTTATTCTTGTCTCAAACAAAACAGATCAAAAATACATATTATAAAAGAAACATATCATATAACATAATACAAATAACAAAAACTTACATGTTCTTTGTTTACTATATTATGGCCAATTAGATTATCAAAAATTAAGGATCCTTCTTAATGAAAACATATAAATTTAACCTTATATATGAAATATCGTTTCTACATAATAATCAAATTAAAATTGTCATAACAAAAAAACAAATTAAGCTTGCTGTCAGGTATCACATTTAATTTTGATGACAAAGAATGAAAGCAATTATTACTTTAGCCAAAAAATATCTGTCTTTACTTTGAAAAATTAATATATTGAATTGTTACCTTAATGTTTTTTTTTTATACAAACACTTTGAAACTTTACATCTCTGGGGAAGCTACTCGGACAAAACTTTCAAAACTGGAAGGCAGCAACCATCAGGAACTAGTTCTACACTCCAGGACAAAACGATTGGAACAGGAACTTAGTGGAAGAAATAAGCCGACTACGGGGACATCCTATATCATACTTCTTAGAAGCTTCCGGTATTTATTCAAATCTGATAGTATTATCATTGACCGGTCCTAAGACATTTCAAAAGAAATTGAATCCTCTTTGATTCAAAAATGGCCCAACATTTCACATCCGCAAAAAGCGTCTACCACCGTTTCAAATAGGTTCTTGGACTCACATTGTAGCACGTCTGCCCTGCTTGGAACTTAAATGTCGACTCCATTGTCACATGTCTGCCCTGTTTGAAATCTCTCAGTCGACTCTTTTGCTTCGTTACATTTTACCAGAATCTAGCCAAAAATTTCCCTTCCGTCTTGCAGCCTGTCGCCGACCCACTTAAAACCAAAACAAATATTCCCTCCTCTTATCGACAAAAAAAAACAAATTTTAAATGTTCCTTTATTGCCTAAACAAACAAATATTCTTTTTTTTTACCCTCGTCTAATAACGAAAAACAATTTTATTATTAGGGGAATTCATGTTTATTGCGTTTTTAACGAAGAAAACAAATAAAACCTCTTTTTTATACTAGAGGGGCATCATGTAACATGATACCTCCTTAGCGACAAAAACTTGTCGTTTCACCTAACATTGCAACACAGAGATAAAAACATATTTCCAGCGTTAATACGCATTTAAAAATCTCGTCAAAAAAACTTGAAATATTATTTCGATTGTTTTCTTTGGTAAAAACAACAGGAGCGTAACACAGAAATCTTTTCTATACACTTTAAATAAAAAACGCTACAAGTGGGAATAAGCCACAATTAAAGGTTAAAGTAAGTTTAATGACGTTTTAATTTTCACTTCGAAAATTGTTCTCAAAATACAAACATTAGTGTTTGTATTTTGAGAAGTATTTTGAATACATTGAGAGAATCATCGATTCGGATCTCATGGACTTTAGACTTAATGGGAATTAATATGTATACCAAAAATTTAAAATAAGTTTGTTTTGTTCGTAATATTAGCTACTTACTATTATATTTGTACGTTACTCTAGGATGAACACCGTATAAATAAAGTTTGTTTAATTGAATATTATGTGAGTTGAAGTCGTCATCCTAAATCTATTTTCTTATTTCTAGAATTATAACTTCTGCTGATAAATCAATAGAAAAAGCAGAATACAATTAAAGAACAATGCATGTAACAATGTTTACGTAACATGGGTGGAGGTGGGGTGTAAGAGCTTTGCTTATTTTTGGTGAAATAACTATAGGTAATGGATTTTGGGAATAGCTATGACCTTGAAAATGCCACAAAGAATATAACTAAATATCTCTTTTCTTACTCATACTCTTTAAAGTATTTTACAATATTTTAGAATCGAAGAGATGTAATTATATTATTAATGTATTGGATTTTGAGAAGAGCTATGCATTATGCCTATTTAGTCCAAAAGTTTATGTGAAATATTCAAGGTCATAGTTGTTCCCAAAATCTATTACCTCTACTTAACTTACTTCTTCGGGGCCAAATGCTTTGGCCCATTTGTATTGCCCATGTCACCTCATTTTCTGTTATATATGGACCTGTTATAGCAATCGGGGTATAGTGTTCTACTTTTTTATTTTCAAATAATTCAGAAATTTTGTTTTCCATTCTTTTAGCTGTTCTTTGTTTTCTATTCATTTGTCTTTGAAGTTTGGGATAGATGTTTCCGGCGCTCTTATTTAATTTCTTGTGCAGATGAAATGTATCGTGTTTCTTTTTAGATTGTTCAGTTTTATTACGTTCTTTACTATGAAATTGTGTTTTCGCATGTCTTAAGTTCTGTCTGATTATTGCGTGAATCCTCTTGTATTCGGTTTTATCTTTATTTCTCACTTCTCTTCTTTAGTCAATGAATCTCAGTGTTTCTTCTGTCATCCACACTTGTTTTTGCTGCACTTAATTTTGTTTCTGGAAGGGTCTTTAATATATCTTTAATTCTCCTTCAGTTTAAAATTTAGAACATATTCGCCGTATCAATAAATTATAGTTTTTCGACTGATAAACTAACAAAAATTTTATAAGAAAAATAAAATAATAAGTGATTATTTGTGACTGCATGCACTTGTGAATTTACATTAAAATAGCACATTTTTTATTAAACCTGTACAAACGTATTATTATACATTTTTATTTGGAATATTTTAGGGATAAACGAAGGCATGTATTATTCATTAGATTTTTATAAAGTACCATTTACTGAAGTGTTAACATTGGTGAAGAATAGGAAAGTGTTTTTAGAGCATGGTTTTGCCTTTATACCCACTTCTGAATTGGTTGTATCGATCCAAACCCAATTTAGATCAATTTTAAATGAGGCTTTAAGCGTAAGTATAACAAGAAAGCATAACATTTTATAAACGAATCGCTAAAAAAATATTATATGCCTTATTATAATACTTATGTTAAATGCTAATGCTAATGTTAAAAAATGGCATATTTTCAATATTTTTTTTGTATTTTATTTATTATATTTAACTTCTTTTATTACTCCAGTCGTCAGAGACGAAAATGCCACTGAGCCTCTAAAAAGCATACGAACATGCTGAATTTTGCCGAAAATGTCAATTTTAGTACTCAAAGAGGAAAAGGGTTACCGCTTTTACCCCCAGACTAAAACCACCCACGTAGAGCGGTAATAACTGAAAAAAATCGATTTATCAAGAATCTACGACAATTTAACAACTAACAATTTAATTAAATAATTATAGCTCATGAGTAGGTTTTGGATTATGAGTTTATTAATTTAAAATTTAGTTCATTTTATTTACGTTACATTTGATAGTTTCCTATTAATGTTGCAAATTTAGTTTTAGTTTAGCATAAATTACTATTTTTTTACTAAATATAAAAACTTTTGTTTTTGATGAATTGATTGTGAGGCTCCTATTTTACTGGTTTCTGTCAATGGCCTCGCCAAATTGTGAACTTGTTCTGCGCTTGCTGCCACGATTACGATGTCATGAGCGTATATTATGTTACTCAGTATGATTGCGTTAATTTTAGCACCTTCTATGTTATGCACTGACGTTCTAATGATGTGTTCTACATATATGTTAACACAATATGAGACAGCAAAATAAATATTTCAATTAGTTTATCGTGGTGCATGTCGTGTAGTACCTTTCGGTAGTCTCTAAAACATACGTAGAAATCGTGTTGGACCTCCAACTATTGCTCTACTGTCAATTTGATCTAGTATTGTTTCTAGAGTGCTTGTACCTTCTGGAATCATCACCAGATTTATCTGATGTTTTATTACATTTTCTATCACAAATTGCACAAACAACTTCGATTTTTGTATTTAGAATGGTTCAGTCAGATTTACTTTAGGGTATTTTGTTTCATATTTAAAAAGGTTTTGCAAAATAGTCCTCTAAAATTTTCTTTTGTTTTTCTAACTCGACTTCTATTTCTTCTATTTCGTTGTTTTCATGTTTCATCAGTATTTCTTTTTAGGATTTCAAATTCCTTGTTTCTCTTTTTGTGTCAGATTTTCTCTTCTTATCCTCTTCATCGATTTATATCACTTCACTGCAATTTTCCTGTAGCCATACTCTTTACTAATTAAATTTTTTCATTTATCTCTCTTTTTCGTTTATTGCGTTTCTTTTATATTATGTTTATTATTTCGACTATTGTGCAGGTTTTATTATTTTTTGCTTTTTCTTCTAATGTTATATTGATTGTTATATTTTTAAAATTTCTTCATGTATCTTCTATTGCACCTTCTAAACGGTTCGCCTCTGGTGCATTTGTGTCCAGTTTGGTGTCAAAATATTCATTTATTTTGTCCCGCTGTTTATTTTCTGAATCTTTTTAATTTCGTCTTTTTTTAAACGTTTCGTATACTTTTACTACTGGATAATGATTAAAATTATTGTCACAATCTGTGTATGCTTCGGAGCTGGTTACCCGATTTCTAAATCTTTTGTCGATCATAATATATTCTAATTAGGTTTTCTTTATTGTCAAAAGACTGATATTTTTTTGTACACACTTATGACAAGTCGAAAGAAAATGCAAAAAAGTATTTTTGAAGTGTGTATATTTTAGGCAATTCCTAGCTGAGCGCTTTCGGCTTTACAAAGCCATCATCAGAGCTATGCTACAATAAAATGTTCTTATAAGTACTAATTGGTAAAGATTATAATTTTTAACTTACGTCAATTTTTTAAATACCACTACAAAGGAGAGATCTCATTTCCTTAAATTTCAAAATTATGATTTTTTAGGTGTTGAAATTCTTAAAACATATAAAAAACATATAAAAAGCCGACACTGGACTTCACAAACACGTTAAAAAATTGAAAAAATTTTTGTCATGGTACGGGTGTAAGAACCCGACCATTGATTGATGTGAGGACGTAGACAGAATAGAACTAATGAAATCAAATGTCGGTCCTTTTAAACGATTTTTCAAAAGTGACAGTTGACAAATGTCATATATAGGAAATAGAGATTGTTTTTTAAATTCTTACAAAATTATTTAGTAGTTTGGAATTACTAATAGTCATCAAAGACTTTCTAAAAATTAAGTTTTTAAATTAAATTTTATGTGTTCATCACATCATACAGAATGACATTAGTTTGTAAATTCACTCAAGTCATTGCTCAAGGTCAATGTATGTTCAATCTGACAGCCATCCTTAAGAAACAAGGGCTCAAATTGTTCAACAACAATATAAAGAAGAAACATGGTATTAATGTTACGTTATCTGATACTTAAGTGTATTGAGAATTGTATCTCTTGATGGAAAATTGTAAGAAATTTGCATAAAAAATTTTTTTAAGAATGTATTTTCATGTTTCAATTAAGAATAACTGTCAAATGAATTACAAAATGTTGTAAATTTCTAATAAAGTTTAAAATTTGTTTAAAAATATAAAAGTATGAAAAATATATAATAAGATTGCATGAGGTCACCCTTCTTCCTCTAAAGTCTCCCATAATAATTTAAAAAGAGGTTTATAGTTGCAATTGAGGTTGATTTGTGTGTTTAAGCAACAATCAGGGTTTAGTTTCATTTCTTTGGATATCTCTAGATCTTCCAAGAGATTCATGAGTCTAAAGTTTTTATTGGGAATGTTGTGTAAAATTTTACTGTTTTCAGAAGGAGAAAAGGAATGATTATTAAATTTAATGTGATATCCAAAGTTTGATTTTTCTGGGTTATTGAGGTGTTCTTTGATTCTTTGATTCAGAGTTCTCATTGTTCTACCTACATAAGTCATATTACAGTCACCACAGGACAGCTTGTAAATACCACTTCTGTTTAGTTTGTCAACTTTGTCTTTGGTCTTGCTGAAGATGGACTTGATGTTATATTTGGTTTTAAAGGAGATGTTTAAGTCACTAATTTTATTAACAAGTACTCTTGAAATTTTTTCTGAAATTGGTCCTAAGTAAGTTAAGGATCTATATATGGAAGTAGTGTTGGATTTTTTATCAACATTAAAAGCTTGGTTTAGTCTCTTTTTGAGTATAGATTTTCTAATGACTTTATCAACAGTAGTAGAAGGAAAACCATTGTTGTTTGCTATCTGTTTAATGATGGAGATTTCTTTATTGTAATTTTCTTGAGACATAGGGATATTAAGAAGTCTGTGGACATAACATTGAATAGCTGCCATCTTGTGTTGAAAAGGGTGATTTGATGATGTTGGTATCATATGGTCAGTTTGAGTAGGTTTTCTGAATATTGAAAATTCTAGTGTAGGCAAAGAAGAAGAGGAGGAACCTTTTTCAACACAAGATGGCAGCTATTCAATGTTATGTCCACAGACTTCTTAATATCCCTATGTCTCAAGAAAATTACAATAAAGAAATCTCCATCATTAAACAGATAGCAAACAACAATGGTTTTCCTTCTACTACTGTTGATAAAGTCATTAGAAAATCTATACTCAAAAAGAGACTAAACCAAGCTTTTAATGTTGATAAAAAATCCAACACTACTTCCATATATAGATCCTTAACTTACTTAGGACCAATTTCAGAAAAAATTTCAAGAGTACTTGTTAATAAAATTAGTGACTTAAACATCTCCTTTAAAACCAAATATAACATCAAGTCCATCTTCAGCAAGACCAAAGACAAAGTTGACAAACTAAACAGAAGTGGTATTTACAAGCTGTCCTGTGGTGACTGTAATATGACTTATGTAGGTAGAACAATGAGAACTCTGAATCAAAGAATCAAAGAACACCTCAATAACCCAGAAAAATCAAACTTTGGATATCACATTAAATTTAATAATCATTCCTTTTCTCCTTCTGAAAACAGTAAAATTTTACACAACATTCCCAATAAAAACTTTAGACTCATGAATCTCTTGGAAGATCTAGAGATATCCAAAGAAATGAAACTAAACCCTGATTGTTGCTTAAACACACAAATCAACCTCAATTGCAACTATAAACCTCTTTTTAAATTATTATGGGAGACTTTAGAGGAAGAAGGGTGACCTCATGCAATCTTATTATATATTTTTCATACTTTTATATTTTTAAACAAATTTTAAACTTTATTAGAAATTTACAACATTTTGTAATTCATTTGACAGTTATTCTTAATTGAAACATGAAAATACATTCTTAAAAAAATTTTTTATGCAAATTTCTTACAATTTTCCATCAAGAGATACAATTCTCAATACACTTAAGTATCAGATAACGTAACATTAATACCATGTTTCTTCTTTATATTGTTGTTGAACAATTTGAGCCCTTGTTTCTTAAGGATGGCTGTCAGATTGAACATACATTGACCTTGAGCAATGACTTGAGTGAATTTACAAACTAATGTCATTCTGTATGATGTGATGAACACATAAAATTTAATTTAAAAACTTAATTTTTAGAAAGTCTTTGATGACTATTAGTAATTCCAAACTACTAAATAATTTTGTAAGAATTTAAAAAACAATCTCTATTTCCTATATATGACATTTGTCAACTGTCACTTTTGAAAAATCGTTTAAAAGGACCGACATTTGATTTCATTAGTTCTATTCTGTCTACGTCCTCACATCAATCAATGGTCGGGTTCTTACACCCGTACCATGACAAAAATTTTTTTCAATTTTTTAACGTGTTTGTGAAGTCCAGTGTCGGCTTTTTATATGTTTTTTATATGTTTTAAGAATTTCAACACCTAAAAAATCATAATTTTGAAATTTAAGGAAATGAGATCTCTCCTTTGTAGTGGTATTTAAAAAATTGACGTAAGTTAAAAATTATAATCTTTACCAATTAGTACTTATAAGAACATTTTATTGTAGCATAGCTCTGATGATGGCTTTGTAAAGCCGAAAGCGCTCAGCTAGGAATTGCCTAAAATATACACACTTCAAAAATACTTTTTTGCATTTTCTTTCGACTTTTCTTTATTGTATTGGGAGATTTTCAGGTACAGAGCCTTCTTTGTAGCTTGAACCAGCTGTTAATAATTTTTGCAGTACTGAATAAAATAAGAGCAATAATTATTTTGAATCGATATGAATCGATATTTTAATTTTTGCGTTTCATTCTATTATAATGATTTCGTTATTTTGATAGTCTTCTCTTCATTTTCGTAAAATTTTTCTAGTTCATCATCTGATTTGTTTGAGATCGAAAAATAAACCTGTATTATATTTAAATCTGCTGTAGATCCGTTTAATTTAATTACAATTACTTGATTTATAATTGCCATATAACCTTTTACATATTGTATCATTGAAGATTTTAAATGTATTCTAATGCCATATTGAGTGTTGTCTTCTCCTCCTGAGTAGTAAAAGCAGATTACAGTAGCTGTTGTTAGTTATCATTCTCCGATTCCATTCTGTCCCATTTCTTCTCAGCATTTGCTAATCTTTCTGATCTGTATAAACTTGTATCGATGTGTAAAATGTATCGACTTTAATGATTAGGATTATTGATTTGCTTATTTTATATATTGATGATTTAAAATTAGAATGGTTATAAATATTTTCTGTTTTGTGTTCTTCAAATAAAGCATTGATTTATTTTAAATTATAAGGTATTTGCTCCACAGACACTATGAAATACAAGAAATATATAATTGATTGTTCTTTTAGCTTTACAACCAACGTCTTCCCTCACTTGATGACGATCGAGTAAACTCATTGTTGGATAATCTTCATAATCTTTACACAGGCAAAACTCATATTGTAGACGATCCAAAAGATGGCGGTATTAATCCCGCCAATTTAGACGTATACTCTCAAAAACACTTTCCGCTATGCATGAGACATTTGTACAATATATTAAAATCAAATCACCATCTTAAACATTTTGGAAGACTGCAACTAAGTTTATATTTAAAAGGAATAGGTAAGTTTTGCACGTATTTGTTACACTTTTGATAGCACAAATTTAATAATAACCTGACATAAATAATAAAACTTCTAATAATAAAAAACAACAATAAAGAAGAATCAATCAAATTCACCATGGAAAAAGAAAACAACAATTCAATTCATTTTCTGGATGTGTTAATCACAAAAAATACAGGATATGCAACCAAAGTCTACAGAAAACCGACCAACACCAACAAATATTTAAATTACCACTCAAACTATAACGTAAACATCATAAAAGGAATTATTAAATCATTACATTATACAGCCTGAAATACCTGCTCCAATGAAAATGCATTTGAGGAAGAAAAGCCTGGTAACCAAGATTTTGACAAAAACTGACTACCCATTACCGTTTATAACCAAGGAATTTCACAAAATTTAAGAAAGCAAACAACAAAACACCACAAGTAATGTATCTGTATACAGTGAATGATACACCACAACAGGAACCACTCTATTCTTCTGAAGTTCGCAGGTGTTTCTCCATGCTTTCTTTAATGATTTTCCACACAACCCAACCACAGAATGTGCGACGGATATTCCCTTATAACTATTTTGGTCTTTTTTAATACTAAAAGCATAAATAATACTAGAATACTAAAATAAGCATCTGTTGAACAAGCAATTGGACTTTGTAGGTCTTAGGTTTTCACCAAACATGACCGGAAATAGAATCGGAAGTTGATATTAGAACTCTTCGTGTAACTTTGCGTCGGTTGATATATGATTTCACTAATTTTGAGTCATTTTTGCCAAACTTCCGGTCATAAATTTTTAACCGGATGTGATATAAAAGCCGGAAGTATATATTGTTCTCGTATTGCTAAGGCGCGTCGAATAATATATCGCTTGTACTGTTTCGGCGGAAACCAGTAATCCCGGTTGGAACGCTGGAACCGGAAGTCCGAGGTCAAATTTCTCATCCATCCTGAATACCATCTTTGAGTACTCGTGTAAGTTCTCATTCGATACCTCATTTGTTATTCTATCTGTTCTAATAGTGTAGGAGTTGTATACACGGACAGACAGACGACAGACACACATGAATAATTTTTTGATCATTTTTCTTCTTACGGTGCCTCTCCGTTCCGGATGTTGGCGATCAGCATGGCTATCCTAACTTTGCTTACAGCTATTCGGAATAGTTTAGTTATACACGTAGTGAACCACTTTCTCGGGTTTGGAAACCAAAATATTCTTCTCCCTAGTCCTCTCTTTCAAAATACCTTTAGTGCAGTCATTGAAGCGAAAAATACGGTCTTACCTCCGAATTTTTTTACTGTGAACCGATTTGCATGAAATTTTGGAATTAGGCTCATCTTACCCTTAACTTCAAAAGTGAAAATGATCTGAACTCCGCCTATTATTTTTAAGGGTGTGAACAACCCCTTAATGGAAAAATTGACATTGAGCCATTTTATCGCTAGAAAACATGTCTAATAGTAAGTGGTGAAATTGTAAAGTGTTTTCTAACACAATTACCTCATATTAAAATCATTTTCAACCCCTTGAAAATCTTACAACCCTTGCAAACAACCCCTAAATTGAAAAAATCACAAAAAAATACTTTGGTATGACATAAAAAGATGTAAGTATAGAGTAAGTAATATTTATATTCTCTATAATAATTATCAAATTTTTAACCTCTTTCAACCCTTGAAAACTACCCCTTGATAAAAAATTGTTAAAAATTTTTTTTGATAAAATGAAAAGGATTTAAATATTATTCCACACTCTCGAAAATGATTATCATATTCTTAAGCTTTTCTACCCTTAAAACTGCCCCTAAATTAAAACAGTAAATATATATGATTACATATTTAACCCCTGGCCCCTTCACTCAAATGTGTTATATATTGTAGTATATTTATATTGTTCTAGTTTATTTGTCTTTATTCTAATTTATTGTCTATATTCTAATTTATTAAAACTCACGATAACTAATTACTAATTTATTAATTAACTTTACAACTATTTATGTTACGTTTCGTTACAATTAAATCGCGTTTCCCGATCTTCTTATGACTAACTCCTTACATAAAATTTCTATGTATTTATATCCAAATACCGTTATCTAGAAGCGGGCAGTCACCTTCCAGAATAAACTCGATCGCCATGCGGTCAGACTGGATTTTTTATAGCAGCCTCGAAAGTTCGACTGGTCGGAGAATGAAGGGTGACCCATTGATGCGTCAGGTAGATTTCGATCGTCAAATCTAGAACATAATATTAAGTAAACAACAGGTTTTATTTTAATATGACTCATTTCGTAACAATATACTTATATATACATATAAGAACGTTGGTATGTATTCATGCCTACATTTCCAAAATATATGAGCCTTATTATGTATATATATATATATATATATATATATATATATATATATATATATATATATATATATATATAACACTGTTTTTGATGGGTTGGAGTCAATAAAAGGGGCTATTTGTTGACTATTTTTTACTCGAGCTTTCAATTGTGATTACAATTTTTATCAAGAGCTTCTAAAAAATACAAAATGTCTTACAAAGTTGAACTAGAAATAAAAAATTTTTTGTTAACTCACCAAATAAAATTAGTTTTTTATATAAAACTACTGCTTACATAATAAATACAAAAAATATTAATAAAAAAATGCCTTATTCTAATAAATGTTTCTCTGAAAAATTTAGATGAAGTTTCTTAAGAAAAAAATTGAATTTATAAACAAAAATAGAATAGCTACAACCAGCCTAAAATGACATAAATACTAACTTAAAAATTTTTATTTTTGACATATTGTCAAAAATAAAATTTTGTTTAAAAAATTCTTCTTTGTTAAGTAACAAAAAAGAAGAAGATTTATTCACCATTGATAGATGCCCGAAAAAATGTAACAAATACATGGAAAATTCAAAATGTGATATTTTCCATGTATTTGTTACATTTTTTCGGGCATCTATCAATGGTGAATAAATCTTCTTCTTTTTTGTTACTTAACAAAGAAGAATTTTTTAAACAAAATTTTATTTTTGACAATATGTCAAAAATAAAAATTTTTAAGTTAGTATTTATGTCATTTTAGGCTGGTTGTAGCTATTCTATTTTTGTTTATAAATTCAATTTTTTTCTTAAGAAACTTCATCTAAATTTTTCAGAGAAACATTTATTAGAATAAGGCATTTTTTTATTAATATTTTTTGTATTTATTATGTAAGCAGTAGTTTTATATAAAAAACTAATTTTATTTGGTAAGTTAACAAAAAATTTTTTATTTCTAGTTCAACTTTGTAAGACATTTTGTATTTTTTAGAAGCTCTTGATAAAAATTGTAATCACAATTGAAAGCTCGAGTAAAAAATAGTCAACAAATAGCCCCTTTTATTGACTCCAACCCATCAAAAACAGTGTTATATTTTTTCCAAACGAGTCACAAGTACTTCTTTTTTCTTACTCTTTATATATATATATATATATATATATATATATATATATATATATATATATATATATGCACATTACAATAATTTTGGGTCTCTATTATACTGCATATTTTCACATTGCTCCAAATATTCACACTCCGAAAATTAAGAGAGCTACAACATCCATTATTGCAATATATAGTAAAAAACCTTTTTCTAAAACGGGAGGGCTTAAAGGCTTAGAGAGGCTTTAAACAATCATATCGTCGTCAATTTTTGTTTGACAGAAAAACAAAAAAAACCAAATTGTTTGTCAGAAAAATACCTAAAAATGTTTTATCCCTACACTTTTATACGTATCTATCGTCATTTTTGAGATATCATGAAAAAAGGTGTTTTTTTTTAATTTGAATTTTTTTTAATAGTGACTTTTTTAAAAATATGTGTCCTGGAGCAGCCAAACTGATACAATCTATCAAACTCTTCATAATAAAGTTAATTCTAGACGGAATACGATTAATTTTAATGTTGGTGGAAATGGCACTTATGAAACCCATTGATTTAAAAGAAAAAACATTAGATGCTCCTCTTATTTGCAATACAGCTCACTTATTTTACGTGCAAAAGACTTTTAATAGTGCTCATTTTAAAGCTTATTTTAAGCACTACAAAACCCTTTTTTATTAGAATGCCTAAAATGCATCTGCTCGCCGCTAGATGGCATTGGCCACATCGATTAAATTTCAGACAAAATAAAAAACGGCTTTGATCTTTAATATCTAGCTTAATGTTGCACTTAGAATACTTTATAAAAAACCAAATTGTTCATTTTTTTACCTGCTACAATATTGTTTTTTATAAAATTTTCGATAAAACGTATATTTTTGGAGATATTTGCAAAAAACCGATGAAAAACGTGAAAAAATTGCGAATTTTCAATTGCCAATAACTTGAAAAGTATTGGATTTTTCGAAAAACTTTATAGATGATTTTTTGCTTAAAATTAGGCCTTCTATCGATATCCGAGGTTATTTTGAAAAAAAAATTCACCCCCGAGAAGGGGTGGCAACCACCCCAGGGTGGTTGCTGAGTTCAAATCATTTTCACTTTTGAAGTTAAGGGTAAGATGAACCTAATTCCAAAATTGTATGCAATTCGGTTCACAGTAAAAAAAATCGGAGCAATAATGCTTCAATGACTGCACTACTTGCCCTGAAGAATGAGTTGCAACATACCATATCTCTGTTCATTTTTCAAACACGGCTAAGATATTCTAATTATTTTTTAAATATTGTAAAATGGGTGAAAACATATTTGTTTTAACTCTTGTTGTAATTATATCAAACATCTGCGAGAATTTATGCTGCCACGAAGTCGGTTAATTCTAGAACGATTAGTTACAAATATTTTTAAATATTTTAATTGTTTTTTTTTAGGACTTGCTTATGAGGATGCTATGGAATTCTGGAGAGAAGAGTTCACTAAAAATCCCCAGATTGACCAGAATAAATTCGATAAGAGTTACTCATATACTTTTAGACATTCATACGGAAAAGCTGGTGGAATGACAAATTATTCTCCTTACAGCTGTATCAAAGTAATTATGAGTAATGTTGGACCAGGTGAACATCATGGCTGCCCGTTTAAACACTGGGATCAAAGTATACTGAAAAGTAAATTAGGAGAAATTGGAATACCAACACAAGGTATGGCTGTCTTTGATCTGTTAAAAGATATAAAATTATTATTGTTTAACTTACGGATTTTTTTGGGCCGGATACCTCAGGCGGTAAGTGTGTCTGAATATCACAGATCGGCGAAGTATTTGTCAAGATACAATTCGGTACTATTATAGAAGCTCAAACGGTTTTCATGATATTCTTATGGTGTTTATTTGTTTCGTATATTGGTGACCATCTTGTCTATTTTTACTTTGTTTGCTGCAGTGCGTATCAGCTCAGTGGTAGTCGTGTTATAATATTGCAGCCAGGAAATATGTCTTTGTTTGGTTCAATTTTGCTATTTACCTTTCCTTGGAGAATCAATCAGAGAAGACCATAAGTTTTTGATTTATTTTATATGTCTCAGATATTCTAAATTATGAGTTTTGATCGTCATCAGACTTTCACATTCGTTCCCCATTCTGCACAGGACTTCCGCATTAGTACCTCAGTCAACCCAAAATAAATGTAAAATATGCCTACAACACCACATCTTCAAAGCCTCTAGCCGATTCATATTTGCCACAGGTAATGTCCATGCTTTCATTCTGTAGAGCAGAACTGCGAATATGTAGCATTTCACTAGACGGCATTTTCTTTGGCTGTTTACATTAGTACCGAGATATGTATAATGCTCGACTCTTTCGATATTATTTTGTTTAATTATTAGTTGGTCGTCTAGGATTGGATGTTTACTAATTACCAAAAATTTGGTTTTTTTTTTAATGTAATGTTTGTAAATCGTCCAAATTATTTGCAAAAACTATAGTTTAAATATGGTTTTGTATAATATTACTCTTATAAGGAATTAATTTATATTTTGAAAACATCAAGTCATTGCTGAATACATTTTTAAGATCAATTTGTTATATTTACAGTAATTTGACAGTTAGTACAATTATTGAACATTGGAGAACACTCTTAGAACTATGAGAATTAATTCTAAGTCTTCTATATCGTGTACAGTCATTCGCTAAGTTTGACAATTCAACCTCAATACGTTTCCATAGTAACCCAAGTAATTTTATTAGGAATTTCAAAGCACCATTTATTTGGGAATAAAATTATCGCGTTTTTTTTTAAATCAATCAATATCTGTCGAATTTTAAACGATTTGCGGAAAAATAGTATGTTTACCTCGTAGGAAAAGCCACATTCCTGGACTCTGTGTTGCTAAGTCTCGGCTTGCGCCTCGACTTAGCAATCTTCACAGTCGTCCAGGAATGTTAAGCTTTTCCTACCCGGTAAACAATTTACTTTCTATTAAGTTTTTACTTTCGACCTCATATCCAATAGGACTTCTTTAACTGGAGACATAATTGTTTTCTCTAGATTAATCATTCAACCAAGTTAGTACAGATGTTTTAAAAAATTCTAATTTTTAGGTGTTACTTCTATTGTCGAGTTGGTCAACGGTGGACATTATCAAATAGCCTGCAGTAAATACTTTGAATGTGTTCATGGCGGACAGCAACCTCCGAATATGATCAGCCATCCAAACCAATATTTTGCAGACAGTATGAGTCTTTTAAAAGAGAAACAAGAAAAACAGGATAAGCAAATGAAAATAAACTAGTTGTTAAGTTTTATATTTTAATGGATATTTTTTTAGCAATGTAAAAACTTGTATAAAGCAATATTTTACAAAATAAATTATTTTAATTTTTTTATATCGTATTTTATTTAAATCTTGGTATATATTTTGGTTTTAATAAACTAGAAAATGAGATAAGAATATTTTCTTGTTATATCCTCCTGAGACCTAACCTGATCTTTTTGTTTCTTTATTAAATAATAGAATTCGTATGATTTTTAGTATAAAAACACATGTAAATTTTTCTAAATTTTTATTTTTTTGCTAAATGTGAAAAAAAACATGTCCATTCAAAAGGACATCAGGATCGCATCAATACAAAATTATTGTAAATGAAATTGTTTAAAGCAATTGTTATTTTCCGTTAAACATAAAATATGTCACATGATTCACAATAAACTGTTGTTTTACCCTTAGAGCCTGGAAGCTTACAACTAACATACCTTACAACTCTTAGTAGACGTTTGAAGTGATGTTCTAGGTTTGTGACTGTTTCTAGATACCAGTGTTGAATTGTTCTCAAAATCAGAATTTTCTGAAATGTTATCTTTAAGAAGCAACTCAGAAACAGCTATTTTAAACTCCAGGAACTTCATAACGGTTTTATTAGCATCACCAAGTTGCTTATGGTCATCTCTATATAGAGTTCAAGAATTGGCAATCACAAGGTCAAATAAGTTAAAAATGGTTTTTACTATCCATTTCTTACTTCTAGCTCCCGTTCAATAATAACTGATTATCCTGTCAATTAAATCTATTCCCCCATGGATTCGTTGTACTTTTTAACAATGTTTCGTCTAGGTACCTATCTCAACATATCAGGTGTCTTTTTTTGACCATCGCTTACATTTATGTGAAGGTTCTATTTGCAACGCAGTTGACGCTAGCATAACGGATTTCATATCAGACCATTGGACTTTGTAAATTTTTCCAGATCTTACATCTTGCTCAGAAGAACCACGACCTAATCGATTCATCACCTTATCCGATGTTACTTGAACTGCTTTGGGTATTCGGGATTTCAATATTGTAGCAGTTAAAAAAATATTTTTGATTAACATGTACTTAAGTAAAGGTAAGGTGGTGAAATATCTATCAATAAATACATGTGTTCCTTCTAATAATGTTGTAGATAACTTAATATTTGCGGATAGACCAACACCTAACTTCTTAACATCATCATCATTCTGCAGAAATGTATTTTTCCCTTGATAAATATCAAAGTCTAATATAATTAATCCTTTGGGAGTGACGCAGACAAATTTTTTTAATCGTTCTGGATTAGGTTTACCTCGAACAAATTGTTTCATGTTACACACGTCCGTAAAAGGATTCATTTGATCGTCCATAGCAACCTCACTGTATCTTGGAAGTGTCAAGAAACCTCTTCGTATTCTTTCAACTAAAAGCTGAATCTTAAATAATTTGTCAGCGTTTCTTTGATCTTGAGACACATCAGCGTCAATAACTACTTTTAAATTGTTTCTGAGTTGAAAATATCTATCACGTGTCATGGCTTGTGCAACACTGTTGACTTTTTGTTTTCTAAGCCCAAAACATTCTAATTTGTGGACACTTTAGAAAGGACATTAGAATAGATATTCCAAAAAAATTTTTCACCTCAGAGTAACGTTCAAAGGTTTTCCTTTTCCTTGCAAAAATTTAATATTTGTACAATTACCAATATTCTCAAAATCTGAATCATCAAAATACATACCGACGTAGTTTTCAACTTTCCAATTTTGCCTCTCGTGGACTGTATCGACAATTCAGTAAAGTCTACATGCTGAGGGACAAAAACACCCATTTTGTTTCCACGTATTTCGGTTTTCAAGCTTTTTTTTCGTTCATTGAGTGGCACGTTATATAATTCATCTTCGGATGATATTTCTGTGTCTTGTTCATCATCTGTATATTGAGCCAAATCTGATTGCTGAGGCTGATACAATTCTTCATTTGGATCAAAGCCGTCATCAGAGTTTTCAGAATCTGAAACGTCTATATCCGAATTTTCCAGACATTCAAGGAGTCTTTCATGGTCAACTTCGGGTCTTAAATATTTTTTATTACCAAAGACAGCTGAAACAAAAAAGTATAATATAATATTTTATATAATTTACTGTTTTATTGGGAATTAAAGCTACAATTGTAGTTTTAAATTAATTTATTGACGTTTTATGCATAATAGATACATAATATTTTATGTATGCCTAAGGAACTGACGTCCATAAAAATGGACATCCCTGTTTTAGATAAAAAAACAAACTCAAAATGGTTTGCTAAGACAACTACATCACATAAATATATTTATAATATCGTATGTTATTAGACTAAGCAAAATTTAGGTTAATAATATAATAACATTACCTATTTACCATCAATTGTTTTTCTACAACTGCTCGCCATGTTTGTCACTTGCGATTAACAGGTTAACTAAGTTAAAATGTGCTCTCAGCAATACGGCGCGCTATTTTTAATAGTATGTACGGTGTACATTGTACACTACGATGGACCGTGGGACTAGGCGCTGTAAATTTATTCTTGCCAAAAATATATATAATATTTAAATGTCCATTTAATTGGACATCAGGTCTCAGGAGGATATAGACATATTAAATGAAAAGAAAATATACCCACTGAAGGTCAGGACTGCGAATGATTATTTAAAGAGACTGTAAGCCTACAACATAATTTTCTTTTGGTTACCATTGAGGTAAAAAGCCTAATGAACCCAAAATATCGGAGAGAACAAAACATGAATTGGTGAAAAAAGTTTAAAAAGAATGTGTAGTGAGGACAAAAATGAGACGCAGTTCATGGTGGTAATTAAATCTAGTTCAAGAAAAAATAAAAGCAAAAAGAAAACTAAATAGACTGGCAAGAAACTGGGTCTGACATAAATCTTTAAAATTACATAGTTTCCAAAGAGCTGTAAAAGGCTAAACAGAACCGTACAAAAATCTATACGCTGAATGGATACCATCATTTAATATTCCCTTGTCCACTGTTGGACATAGATCAGTTCCACTTCAGCGGTGCTATTCTCTCTACAGCACCAGCTACTCCTGATTTTCGTCGTAGCTGGCGGTTTGGTATCTTGTTTCGTAGTGAAACGCCCAACATAGCACGCTCCATCGCCCTTTGAGGCACACGGATCTTTTTCACTATTCTCCTCGTCATAGTCGTTTCCGCTACGTCAGTCAACATTGGCAAAACACACTGATTAAAGTATTTTCTCTTAAGATATATTGGTATGTCGGACGATTTGAAATGTGGTTTAACTTGTCGAAGCTGTCCAAATCAGTCGCATACGACGGAGAAGCTCAACGGTTTGGTTATCTTTTCCTATGCAAATCTCGTGACCTACGTATTTATAGGCGGGTCTATGGATCTTGTTCCTATGAATGTATTTTCTCTGACTACAAGATTTGTCATTATTTGGGTTTTAGATATATTTATTTTCAATCTCCGTTCTAGCGAGGAAAGGTAGAGCTGATTTAAAAGTTCTTTGGCCTCATCTATCCTATCAGCTATTAGCACAATATCATCTTTAAAACCCAGGTGGCTAAGCTTTTCTCCATTTATGTTTATGCCCTTGTCGGTAAGTTTTGTCCTTTTACATATATGATCCAAAAGCGTAGTGAACAGTTTCGGTGATATGGTGTCCTCCTGATGTACTCCACGTTGTATCGGGAATTTCTGAGTTTGACGATCACCCACTCTAATACTAGAATATGTGAATGGACGACACTACTAAAAATGATGTATACAATATAAATGAAAGGAAAGGAAAAAATTGACCAAGAAATCAATCGGAGAAGCTAAAAACAGACGGATAGAAGAACAATATGAAGAAATTAAGGTACTAGAATCGAAACGTGTGAAGGTTGAATGTTTACATTCTAGTAAAACCCCGTCCCTGTACAACATACGGTACTCGAACCGCAATGTGGGCCGCATAAAGGTCGATTCAGACACATCAGTCACGTCTCGTCACAGTGATTGCGCCGAACCGAACAATCCGTCATACAAAATATTCTTTAATACAAATATGTTGCCGGCATTCACACTCATCAGTTGACAAACAGTTTCCCAGCTGTCAGATAGTTGATAGTTCTGTGACCAAACAGGACCGGTTCGGCGCCGAGACTATGACGGGACTGATGTGTCTGAATCGACCTTAAGTCATTTATCCGGTCCGCGGCGCGAGTTGAATATAGATATCGATGTAGCGCGAAGCGAGGCATGCTGACGTCGCGAAGTGGCGGTAATGGATGGTGACGCTTCTCGTTCTCCGCATCACGTACTTAGTCAGAAGTTTGTTTCAGAACAGGATGTACTTAGCAAAAAATGTAAAGTTGACACAGAATGTTGAATATCATTTGACTAAAACCTATTTTGTCCTAGCATAAAATGGAAATATATTGTGCCTCATGTCATGATCAAATATCAGTTTGTAAGAAGTACAATATTAGACTTTACATTACTCTACAAAACATATTTCTAAATATGATAAATACAAAGTTCAAATTCGAATCGATCGTGTAAATTCATTGAAGAAAAATATATTCGGTCAACAAGCAATGTTTAAAATACCGAAAGAATACTCCAAAACAGTTTCAATAATCAGTTTCAAGATAGCGAAGCCATTGCCAAGAGAAGCAAACACTTATTGGACGGAGAATTTGTTAAGGAATTTGTCCAGAGCGCAAAACACTAGTTAAAAATATAAGCTTGTCACATATAACCATAGCAAGAAGAATTGATGATATGGCCAACAATATAGAATCGTCTACCTAGATGAACAAAAAGGAATTTTTTATGATTTTCTTAAAAAAGTGCAAGACAAATACCAAGTAATTTCTGAAAATATAGTCAAAGAAGACGGAAAGAAAAGATAAAGGAGAACGCTGAAATAATAAACAAAGACAAATTGTGGTTTCATATTATATCACATATAATGACAAAACATTAAAATTTTGCAAAGAAATGTTCCAGAATCGACATAGTATCCCAAGAGGAAAAACTGATATTTTGATAAAAAGAAATAACTATCACCCATAGAACTTTTATAGAACCTAATGGATCTGGAAAACACCAACCACAGAAGTCGACTTTATCTAGCTCCCAACCTAAATATTAAACTCCTGTATGATCTTTATGCACCAAACAGAACAATGCCTGTATATATTCATTCTATGCTAAGATTTTTAAATAACTTGGATATAAACTTAAAAACCCTAGTATTGATACATGTAAGACTTGTGATTATCTAGAAAACAAGAAAAAATCCTCCAATAGAGAAAACATAGTGCGGCTGTGAATAAAGAGAAAATAAACACCTTCAGCTAGCAGAGATTGCCCATAATAAAAAAAGGGTGCCAAAGGAGTTCTCCTGAAATAGTAGCGGTAATATGGTTATTTCTAGTAATTGACTTGCAACACAACCTACAAACACCCAATTTAAACACAAATGCAGTCTACTATAAAAGATTGCTCTGGACATATACCCTTACCATCAGAAATTGCACTGAAAATACCACTTCATGTTTCATGTGGCATGTGGGGTTGTCAGACCTGGGATCAGATTAAGTAGCTTCCTGTCTTTTTGACAGCTTAGTCAACGCAATTGAATACGTTGTTCTGGACATTGTTCTGGACTTGTTGAACACAAGTTCTTGGAAGTGGGTCATACTACAGTGGTATGTGATGCCGACCATGCGGAAATTGATCATGCCAAAAAATAGTCACAAATTGAAATGATACCTCATGACTGCTACCAGTTTGTTAGAACTGCTCCTGGTAGGAAGAAATGTTAAGTTATCAAAATGCAGAGGAAAGATTTTGTATTCAAATCTTTTCCAAAAGATCTATGTAAAGCGTGGTAAAGATGTGGATAATGAAAAGGTGAAATGGCGTGATATAACTACGTTTTGGTTAAGAGTTGGGTGTTATGACATTAAATATTCACATAAGAGCCTTGATGTTTATAAGCTTAATATTAAATGCAGAGGACAGCAGATGTGTCCTACATTAGAACCCATAGCGGACCTAAACCCATAAAATATTAAAAAAGAAAAACTTGCTTTTCCTGTTGCAATACCTAGATCCAGTGTACCATCTATTTTACCATGAACTTAAGATTAGTGAGAATGTAAATGATGGAATTTAATGGTTATATAATGGAATAAAATGATAAACACTGTTTTTATGTATATTGATAACAGTGAATAAAAATAATTTTGCTAATTGTTGTAACTCATTTCAAAGATATTTATACTGTAGTTTAAGTTTAGTTATTCCATAAATTGGTGAATTTTAAATTATTTATAAATTGATTAAAACTAACCATCTTCATTAAATATCAAAGTTTTAATTTCAGTATAAATTTCTTCATTTTTGACTTTGTAATTATGATATTCACGTATTTTATATACTTCACTTTGACAAGATATGTCTATATATAATATATGGCATCTAAGATATTTGCTAAAACATGATATGTTAGCGTCAACTTTCTTTAACTCTGCTACTACGTCGTTAATTGTTTCTGAACAGAATATTTTCTTTTCTCATATTCTTTTACTTCTTTGGTTTATATCAACCCGTCGGTCATTTAGCCATTTGCGCCTTTACACATTTAAACTATATTGGCGATTTGGGTATTAAATTCGCTTTAAACCACTTATTAGTGTCATTTCTTTCTTAAGAGTCGCAATATCCTTATTTTAACATATTTATTTGCCACTTAAGATAATTTCAATAACATGCTTTAACATAAGTTAGTAAAAATTCAGAGATAATTTACTGGAGAGGTTTTATTAAGATATATTACTTAAACATCACTCTGTTATTAAAGAAAACTATTTATCTATAAAAATTTATTTATTAACATGTTACAAAAGACTTATGTAAAAGGGTAAAGCTTCCTGTGCCGGTTCCACATGGTTTTCCTAACATAAGACTACTTGAAGGGTTTTGTAAATCATCTTCTCGGCCTAAAACATATAATATTAATAATGTTTGCAACTTTCTGTATTTTGTATTTTTTTTATTGAGTTTAATGCGTCGACAACTATTGGCATGGTACAGTGAATTTTTACAGTCAGGTACCTAGTGTAGAGTGTAGTGTGTGTGTAGAGTAATTGTCTTGATACTTAGCAAAGTCGACGTCATTGTCTTTGCTAAGAGACGCTAATTGTATCCGAACGTCTGCGGTCCCTCCGGTGAGTACCGATCGCACAAGGATAGAAATTATTTTCGTTTATTAATTTTTAATAAACGAAAATTTCTCCACCCAGGTGAGATTCGAACTCACGACCTTTAGGTTCAAAGGTAGGCGCTCTTACCACTAAGCCACAGAGGGGATTTGTATCTTGTAATTGTATTAAAATTTGTATTTGTAATTGTTTTAAAATAAAAGTGATTTTTATTTCTTCTTTTACTCAAATATTCAGTTTATGTCTTCTTAATTTATATGAAACATTATATTTTTGATAATTAATTATTCTGGTTTGTTCAAATCACTGCCCATGCTCATTTACTTTTATATTCTTTCATAATTTTGTTATTTGACACAAAGTAGATAGAAAAGTTAAAAGAAGAACGAAAAAATCAATAACAAAAACAAATAGAAAGACGATAGGATTGTTCAAGACGTGACAGGATATCTGACAGTTGGCGCCATTTTTAGTTTAGGAAAATGGAATAACACAGTTGCCATTTTTAATCGATAAATCCAAGAAGCGCGTGTAACGTCAGAGTTGGAGGAGCTTACAATGTCATTGAGATGCAGACAAAAATAAGTGACAGACGACAAATCAGAGAAACAATCGTTTGATGTTAGAGTGGGAGGAGCTTGCAATGTTATTGAGATATAAAATTTTCCCAGGCCCAACCGGTCCACACTCTGTTGAGGTTGTGTTAGAGTTTTCAGTCGCGCAAGCGCTCCTAACATGACTTAACGACCACTTACGTAGTCGGGACCGACAGCTATACATGCCCTCCTAAGCACGGTGAGTTATAATTTTTAGATATTGGTATATCTTATGGTTGCTGAGTTACGACCGCTACATGGAACTGACTTTAAAATGATATTGTCAATATTTATGAGGTGCGTTTCTGGGACGACTATTGGAAGATATTTATTCGATTACATGAAATTAATTTTAATTACAGAATACTCGTCAGAAAAATATTCGCATGTGACTTGTCTTTAAAAAGACAACACACGAATTATGACAGTAAAATTGTCTCATAAGTAATTTCATTGTATGTAAATTAATGAGGAAAATCCAAGAAAAAACTCTCGATATAAAAAATAAGTATTTTGTCTTATATTTAGTTTACTCTCCATATTAACATCAAACTCTAATTTTATATATCGTCGGCTTACTGCCAAAACCAACTAACTCCACTTTTTAAAGTTTTGAGAAATCTACGTTTTAAACTTTAATTTGAAATGAAAAATCGTGTAAATTTAAAAATGATTTAATGACTGAAAAATATTAAAGTAAATAACATTATGAACAAAACATTTTGTAAAAAAATTATTAAAATGAAGCAAAAGTTAAAAAAAAGTAAAAAAACATTTTTTTTTCCGGCACTAGTCGGGTTTTGGCTGTACAAATTTAGTCAACTTCCAGGTCGCTTTGAACATCACTGTCCTCCACATCAGGCTCAGGTATACTGTCGGCGATGCCGTTCGAGGTCGGTAAACTTATAGTATTGATGAAATTCATCTGGAATGACTGCTGTTTTGCACAGTTTTAATAGATCCTGTTTTTTTTTTAACCGATGGGCCGAGGTTTGGAGTATGCCTTTTTAAAATCTATTTCCCTCAGATTAAGAGGACGACCTTTACCAAAAATGTTTATTTCTTTGTATTCCGATCTGTGATCGTACCAGTACAACACAATGCCTGGTTTGGATTTTAAATATTTCAAGCATTTTACTTGTAGCCAGTTAACTTTTTCTCCATTTGTATTTTTTGTTCGATTTTTCATTATTAGTTTTGACAGGGCCTCTAAGTCAAAAAAGTCCTTATACTTCAGTTCTTCTACAATATACGGTTTCTTGTCAGATCTACACGTCCTTGCCATACGGAAAATATTAAGCCAATCATGCATGGTGTAAACTGGAACATACTTTTGCGCCTTTTCTATAGCACTATGCATGCTGTCTACCTCCATGTAACTATGTCCACTCTCGAGAAATTTTTGTTCTATCACAGATAAGTTGGGATTTGTTTGTACTAAATACAAAAGCAAGGCACTAATATTCTGATTGCGGCTCTGTCCGCTGCAAGTGTCAGAGAAAAGAGAAAGTTCAGTAATATCTGTCGAGAGTTTATCGATATACTTTAATAGACACGTGCCGATTTCCAGGCTTCCTCTTTTTTCATTGTAACACATTTCACATTTCAGCACTTTTCCACCAACTGTAACACAAAATAAATCTATCTGTTTAAAATGTTTAAAACTGAAGACACATTTGCGCCGACAAGTCCAGACGGAGACGAATTGCATATCTGCAAATTTCTAAATACCTACCGAATTATCTACGTGCAATATCGTATTACGCTGAGAACTAAAGACAGTTATCATGAAATATAAACCGAAGTAGTACAGTGAAAATAACTTAACTTGCACTTGTCTGGTTTTGGCAGAACTATAATATTGTAAATGATAAAATATTATTTTATTTTAACAGACAACTGCATATATCTATTTTTGGCTGAATAAAAGTGTCATCGTTGGAGTTAGTTGTTTTGAGACCCTTCTGTTTCTTACATTTAAAATCTGGACGTGTCTGGTTTCATCAGTACATTCTTTGATAATTATTAAGTACAAAGGCGTACTTAACTCAGAATTGACAAAAAGTGGAGTTAGTGGGTTTTGGCAGTAAGCCGACGATATATGCCTTAAAAAAACAAAGTATATTCGATATGTTATTGACGTACTAATCATAAAAAGAAAATAGTACAACTATTAGTAATAGTAACTACATATTATACACAAAATTATTTATAAGTTACCTCGAATTGCTGCATTCCTTAAAAATACTAAAGATGATTCGAATGACATCTGCTGCAAAGGGGAAGCACTGTTTTCCATTCCTCTTCTGCTGAGAGGTTCAAATGTACCATTAAAGGTCATATAGTCCGCTACTAGAGACAAATGACGAGGATCTACCTTAATTCCGTACACATTAAATACGTCTTTAACCTCCTACAATAATAAATGAGCAAGTTAAAAAATATTAGATATTTTATACAACTTTTTAAAACTAAATAACAGTAAGACCTGCAGTCAAATTAAACAACTCAAATAGTATTAGTGTAAAAAAGAGTTAAAAATTTATTTAAATACTAAAAAGAACTGTATTTCTGTGTAAATTTCGATGACACTATTAGAAGATAGATCCTAAACTGCAGTTTGGGATCATAAATTTACTTGTTACTATAAAAATATTTTTAATACATATTTTAGAGAGTAACAACAGCATGCCCACTATGTTTTACATACCGATTTTTGTACTTAATTGATTTCTCTTACAATGGTCTTGAATTTAATATTCCAATATACTTAACAACTTTAAATTTTTAATGATGTTAAACAGATCACATATAGGACACATTTCTCTCGTTTCCATTTTTTTGCGCACAAGTTAAGACGAAATTTTGAACAAACACTACAGTGCGCCAGAATTCGCCTGCTCTCGGGAGCATCGCTTAGGGAATACTTTTCTTCTTTGGCCATGTATCCTATGAGCACGATTCACAGGATTTAGGAAAGCAATAGTCGAAGCACGAACCTCACCACCAAATGATGAGCCAGTGGTGGTACAGTTTCTTAATGATTTGCCAAACAAGCAAAAAATCTAGAGCAAATGATAAATAGCTGTTTATTTATATATACATACAAATAACGGATTTATTACGGCTGTCGCCGCTTCTCCGCCCCCAATTTCCATCTTTTTCTGTCATATGCAGTTGCCTCTTCTAAGTCTCTTGCCGCCATTGCTTCATCAATATCGTTGCGCCAACTTCTCCGTGGTCGTCCTCTCTCTTTGGAGAGATCCATTCCAGTACTTTCTATGTCATCATTGATATTTTGCTCTATTTTCATTTCGTTTCTTATTTGTTCGTTTCTAACTCTCTCCAGTTTCGATCTACCGCAGCTTCGTCTCAGATAATCCATTTCTGTCGTCATAAGTTTGTTTCTATTAGCTTTGGTGACGTCCCATACTTCCGAACCGTAAAGTGTAATACTTTGGACTATACTACCGTAAATGTGTTTTTTGGTTTCTCGTCGAATTGTTTTTTGCCAGAGAAGAGAGTTTAAGGCACGGGTCGCTGCTCCTTGTTTATTCTTTCCCTGATTTCATTTGCGCTATTTCCCTTCTTGTTGAAAATGACCCCTAAATATTTGCAGGATTGCACGCCTTTGATTTTGTCGTCTTCCAAGACTAGGTCACATATTTCATCTGTTCCCACTGAGAGATATTCACATTTTGTCATATTCATGTTTAGACCTGCCACCTCATATTCTTCTTACAGTTTTCTTACCATATAGCTAAGATCGTAGCTGTCTTCGGCAATTACTACCTGGTCATCCGCAAAGAAAAGTGTATATAGCGTGTTTTCTTCCACCGTTATTCCCATGTTTCTACATTTTTTTGCCCATTTCACTAAGGATCTGTCCAAATAGATTTTAAATAAGGTAGGTGACAGACAGTTTATTCATACCTGCCCTAATCCTCTATATATCTATACCCGGGGATCAGAACTCCTCACCTAATCTGTCTTGCGAGGAGTCCTCAGTTGAATGCTCCCACTTTGCACAGTCAAGACGGGCATGAATAAGCAGTTTGGAAAACAAACATGCAATATTGATATATCAAAGTAAACTGAATAATTAACTTAAGTAACAAACCAGTAAGTAGGACAAGAACTAGGAAAGATAAAAATGCTATATAAATATAAGTCGCAATATCTGGGGCATATAAATACAGAAAATATCCCCGGAAATAACTTGTAAAGATTTATACATAGCGCAGTTCTTCTCATATACTATTATGTTAACGAAAAACATTACCTTTACTATTACTTTCGAAGCTGCTTCAATACCGTATGTTTCGGCCACTTTGTGGATATCATTACAATAAAGTTGTGGCAAGTCTAAAAGCGTATTGTATTTAAACATTTCCTACAAAATAAAAAAAATGTATATAATTATATCCAATATTAATATAAAAAAAATAAATATTTATCAAAAAATCAAAGTGCAATTCGTTTATAGGTTATAATATAAAACAAAATTTACATCTTCTGTCGCACAGAACGCGTAAGGAAAAGGTAGTAAAACACTGACACATATATAAGAGATTGATCAGGTCCAAAGTTGTTTACGCTTGTATCATTTACGATTCATCATAACTATATTTTGTTACTCCTGTCAGGCCATGGAGTTGGTGGTGTCTATATTGTAAAATGGCGTACACCCTATACTCCATGCTATGGCATGCTGGACGAGCCATACAGTCTGTAGTCAACACCCCGAAGTATGAGCGGGAATACAAGGTGTATCAATACTCATACGCTTATGAAACGCACCTGGCGGATCATAAGGGCCTTCACATTTTACTCTTTTTCAACTTGTCTTGAGTAAAATGTCTTTAATCTTTCCTATCAGCCTCTCTTGGCTAACTCTTGTTTCTTCCGACCCCGAATGGCGATTAGGTTTCCGAAGGCAGACGGTCACTATATTTCTTTCTACTACACACTCTTCACTCACCAACCCGCATGGCAAGCGTGGTGATTTATTTGCCATATCCCCTCAAATAATGTCAAGACTTAAAACTTCATTACCCCAGGTGAGTAGGATGAATCCAGAATCTCACACTGATTTATCAGTCTGTCCCAAGGATTCTGGGAGGGGGACAAAACCTTGACTCATAAATTATTTAAGATGAATGTCGCAACGTACAAAGCTCGAACGCTACTGTCAGAAGCCAAGATCACTGAAATGGAGCTGGAGATGGAAAAGATCAGCTGGGACGTAATTGGACTCTGCGAGGTAAGAAGACATGGCGAACACCTACAGACATTAAAATCTGGCCATATATTCTACCACTTCGGTGAAGAGAACAAATCAGTGGGAGGTGTAGGTTTCCTCATAAATAAACAGCTGTACAGTAGAATCCATACAATACATGGTATATCCACGAGAGTAATATACGTCATTCTAAAGTTGAACGACAGATATAACATCAAAATAATACAGACTTATGCGCCAACCACAGACCATAGCGAAGAGGAAATAGACATTTTCTATGACGAAATAACACAAGCACTGAAAGAAAATCACACCCATTTTACAATCATATGTGGTGATATGAACGCAAAAATTGGCATGAAATCCGATCCATCAGAATTTGTACTTGGAAACTTCGGCAGCGATGGAAGAAATGAACGCGGACAAACTTTATTAAACTATCTCCTTCAGAACAAATTATATCAAATGAATAGCTTCTTTTACAAAAAACAACATAGAAGGTGGACATGGAGAAGCCCGGACGGGAGAACGCAAAATGAAATTGACTATATAATAACAGATAAAAAATTTATAGTTAAAGATGTCACTGTACTCAACAGCTTCACAACAGGAAGTGATCACAGAATGGTTCGCGCTAGAATAGAAATTAACATCGATAAAGAGAGAAATAAACTAATAAGAAAGAAAAAATTGAAAGCATGGTCACAACCAAAAAATGAAACAGAGTTTGCAGATCAAATAACGGTACGTCTACAAAACAGGCCCCCCACAAATGATATAAATCAGCTAAATAAAGTAATTACTAATACCATAGCAGAAGCTCAAAGAAAATGTTGTACAGGTAACAAGAGAGAGGAGAGAATCACTGCTAACACCAAACTTAAAATGGAAGAAAGAAGAGAAATGCTAAAAGATAAGAGTATAGAACAACAAAGCATAAATAAAATCAACAAAGAGGTCTCAAAAGCAATTAGAAAGGACATAAGGGCATATAAAAATGAGAAAATCTCGCAGACAATCGAGCACAACAAGAGCATGAAGATATTAAGAAGGAAATTGACGAACAGCAGAAAAGAAATCATCAGACTTAAGGGAAAGAATGGCAAACTAACGTCCAACAGAGACGAAATGCTAGAGATAGTAGAAGACTTCTATAAAACACTATACACAAATAAATTGGACTTAAACCCGACAGAACATACAGAACAAAAAATTATGAATCAAGGTTCAGAAGATATTCCCGACATATCAACGGCTGAAATTTACCATGCTCTAAAGAAAATGAAAAAAAAAACAAAGCACCAGGAGAAGATGGAGTAGTGGCGGATGCGCTAAAAATCGGAGGCTCTGCTCTCATCAGGACAATCAAGCAGCTCTTCAATATATGCTTAGAAAACCAAGCAATACCAGCTGAATGGAATAATTCTATAACGCTCCTCATGCATAAGAAAGGAGATCAAACAGACCTCGAAAACTATAGGCCAATCAGTCTTCTAAGTCACCTGTATAAATTATTTGCTCGAATTATCACTGCCAGAATTGAGAACAAACTAGAAACATGCCAACCAAGAGAACAGGCAGGTTTCCGCCCTGGGTATGGTACAAATGACCATCTAACTTGTCTAAAGGCCCTAATTGAAAAAACTATAGAGTACAACCGGCCACTAGTTCTAGTATTTGTTGACTATAAAAAAGCCTTTGACACTATCGAGATGGTAGCTATCTTAAGAGCTTTGAGAGATTGTAGAATCGACTACCGATATACCAGCATTATTCAACATATATATGCAAATGCCACAACAGCAATAAACCTCCACACCCCTACTCAAAAAATAAAACTAAAAAGGGGAGTTAGACAAGGAGACAACATGTCACCAAAACTATTCAATGCCGTAATGCAGCATGCATTCCAGATGTTAGAATGGGAAAACAGAGGTTTGAGTGTCGATGGCGAAAGGCTGAACCACCTACGATTTGCAGATGACATAGTTCTAATAACCGACGACTTAAAGGAGGCCAACGAAATGCTACAAGATTTACAACGAGTCTCCCAAAAAGTAGGGCTGGAAATAAACTTTGCGAAAACTAAAATGATGACCAACTTAGTACCTAGTGGACCATTGAAACTAGAAAACTGGCATATTGAAACGGTTGACAAATACATATATCTGGGCCACGAAATACAAATAAGTAGAGACAACCAAACATGCGAATTATCTAGAAGAATAGCTTTAGGATGGGCAGCCTATGGCAAGCTAAAAGACGTGTTTAAGGAAAACATCCCAATAAAGCTAAAGAGAAAAGCATTTAACCAGTGCGTACTTCCGGTGCTCACTTATGGAGCTGAAACACTGACATTGACTAAAGCATCAATAAAAAAGTTACAAGTAGCACAACGAAAAATGGAAAGATCTATGCTTGGCGTAACTTTGAGAGACCGAATACGAAATGATGAGATACGGCGAAGAACTGGAGTGGAAGACGTCATAAAACGGATTACGAAGTTGAAGTGGAAATGGTCAGGACACGTCGCAAGACAGAGAGACAACAGATGGACAAAGAAGATTTTAGAATGGCGGCCAAGGGCAGACAAGCGAAATCGTGGAAGACCACCTACCAGATGGACGGACGACATTAAAAGAATAGTGACAAACTGGATCGCAGCTGCACAGGACAGAGAAGAGTGGAGACATCTTGAGGAGGCCTATGTTCGACAGTGGACAAATTTGGCTGTGTGATGATGATGATGATATTTTGTTAAAACATCTCGATCGAATACAAAATAGGGCTCTTCTTCCAATGTTCATTTGAGGGTTGGGATAAGAATTCTTTATTTCGAAAAGGATTGAACATGAAATGTGTCCACGTTTAGGATCTTGTGATCCTCTTCAGGTTTGCTTTGAATGTTATTAGTTTACAAGGCAGAACAGTACCGAAAAAGGCACTGTGGTAGTTGTCGTGGCGTGTGTTGTGAAGTATCTTGGAGGCTGTTGAGATGGAGTCGCCAGTTGAATCAGAGGTGGAAGGTTTTATGGATGTGCAGTTCTTTCCAGAGTGTAGTGTTTGTCTTTTTCAACTAAATGTGGCAAAGACCGACTCTCTAGTTACTATTGTTCCTGTAAGCCGTTTTTACGTCTACATCTAACTTTAGAACTAGTGTATTGCACTAAAGTTCTGTTGCTAGATGTTTGCATTAACGGCCAGGCCTCGTCAGCTTTAGAGAGGCGGTTTTGCCACAGGTAGCCCAGTGTGAATGTTTGTGATGGCATGACAGTGATGGACGCTACTATTTTGATGTTACTTTAGTTCCATCCGTCGTTTAGACGTCCTCACCCGACCCTAGAATTTGTGGCAAGCACAAGATTCAGTTGTCGGCCGGGGGCGCTAACACGAGGTTACTTTGGTAGCAGAAAGACGACCCCTTTCACCATCATGCCAGGGTGAATGTATGCGAGCTGAACTGGCAAAGACGAGAACTGTTTGCCTGCATAAGAATGGACGAAATGTAAGTTTTTTCTGTAATGGCCTCCGAGTGCGTAAGTGACCTAGATAAGAGCAGGAACTTTGGGTGTTAGACTGGCGAACGTTGATGGTTCTGTGTGTAAGTTCCTGTTGAGAGTTTTAATTCTCTTGATAAGCGATTAGTTTATTCTTCTGATAGTCTTTTAGAAGGCAATATAAGTTGAATTTTTTAATGAATGACGAATGAAGGTTTTATAAGTGTGGACGAGAGTTTTTGTGTGTGTACGTCCAATTTACCCTTTCCAAAACAAAGTCACTTTGTCTTAGGACTAGCAACTTCCAGTGGAGTCTTACGTTGCCATGTTATCAATTCCTGTTGTAACTTAAACATTCTAGTATATAAGATCAAATAATGTAACTCAAATTCAATTTAACAACATTTAACGGGTTTTTTATCCAAGTATTTAGTGGCTCAAAACATGTACATCCAGATAGCACTGATGATGGAATATTAATTCCAAAAACGTTCTGTGATGTAGCCCGTTAGGGTGTTTTAATATATACCTTTTATAAAGGAATTTTTAAATAATTTTTTTATTGTTTATAATGTTACATAATATACATCGACAATAGAATCGCATCCGGACGCGTTGTTCTCTATATCTGTAGAGTAGGGAAGTCGAGTTAAGTTTCACAGCACTTAGGCCACAATTGACCCATTGTGCATCTTCCCAGGGAGCTGTCGCCCTTAGCTCATTGTCCATCCTGCCATTTCTAGGAAGGTGGACAAGTCACCAGGAGACATCTCTCTTATGTGGGCCAGGACTCGCCGAAAGCGTACTCTCGTATTAACGATAACTCCGGGCATTCACATAGACGTAGTTTCGTCTTCTCGTGACACTCCACAAGGTGGCTCCCAGTGTGTGAAGGTGTTTGCTTAGTTGACAATGACCAGTTAAAAAACCAACTGTCAAATCAGAAGTAGTGAAACAGAAAGCTTTTTCTTGTGGAGTGGGTGAAGCTTCTGTGTACAGAATTGTTAGAGAGCAGAAAAATATCAGAACAAATATAGGAAATCTATATTAGACAAAATTGATGATACCGATAAATCTGTCATATGACGAATTGTGCATCATTTTTTTTTAATGAAATATCCACTATACAGAAAGTTCTTTTAGCTGTTAACGAGGACTGTACGAATAAGGAGTTCGGCCGTAGCGGTAACTTTGCTGGTTCGATGGAAGATTGTTTCTTACCGCACAAAGCTTCTAGGTACTCCTTAGCCCCGAACGACCAGCTGGGAATCCTGTTTGGATTTCAAATTACTCGCCAATTAGGGCAAAATTGTCTGAACGTAACATTGTAAATGTCAGAATAAATTGTTCCTTTCAAGTTGACAAACACGTTTTTCATTCTGTCAAAATTTTAATTAATTTATTCAGTTTATTCAACAGAAGTTATACCACGCAATATACAGTCCATTTCATGTTTCTTTAATCCTTCAATCCAGCACTGAAGTTGTTCCTTGACAATATAGGGTAAAATTAAATGTAAAATCTAATTAAATTAGTCAAAATGTATCTTTATTAAAAAGAATAATAGCCTATAGCACTGTAGAAAATATCAGTTATAAGTTTATTGTTTATAGATAAGAACAGTAAAGGTTTATGTGATGATGAACTTGTTGTTTGTCTTTCGTTGTTAATCGTTCAGGGCCGAAAATGGACTGATTTTGAGGGACTAGTCCAAGTTTAGAAATAAGGGAAATATTTAAATAAAAGTTTTTACAATGTACAGATTTATGGTAAATTTGTACAAGGACGAAACCATTTTTATATAAATAACCAACAAAAATAATATTTGGAGAAGGGATAATGACTGAATATTATTATTGCTTTTGGGTTTTGGTAGATACATAAATTATCGCATAGGTTTTATGAAAGCGATTTCAGAACTGACAGTCAAAACGTCAAAAAGTTTAATTAATTTTAAACTTTAATTACAATTATTATGGTTTATTTTCAAAAAATATCAAATATTCAGTGTAAAACATGCCACAAGCAAATAATTTCAAAACGATATTTACCGGGATATTTGCCCTATCTAATTAATAAATCAATGATATATGCCTACTTACAACAATATTGATACCATCCGTTCTAAGCATTAGTTTATCATCCTTAACATAAGTAATGGCCCTTTTAATTTGGGGCGTTTCCCAAAGAACAGATTTGCCAGCCGTCTCTTTTAAAATTGCAGTAAGATCCAATTTTTTGAACGACAAGGGCAACTAAAACATAAATTTATTAAGTCATAAACATAACCGTATAAGCAAAAAATTAAAGAAATGAAGTACTTACACCAAATGTTATTTGACACCACAATTGTTTTTGTTGGTCTTCATAATAACTTTGTGCAAAATTGTAACTATCAACTACTTCATTATCTTGCTCTTGATTGTCAGTTTCTTTTTGATTCGCTTGGGTTTCGTTATCTTCATCTTCATCTATAAATATACAATTATTATATAATTACTATATTGATATTTAAGTAAACAACAATATAATTACGATGATCAACACAATAGTTGGAATCTTAAATGTGTATATGGAAATATTTAAATGTCAAATAGGCAATGCGTTGAATCTTCATAAAATCAAAAACATTTGAATAGTCAAATAAGAATAAGAAAAAAGCTTATCTTATGTTATATATCGACGAACAAACCGACGAATCCATAACCGTATTAATGAACCTATGTATGTACGTGGGCAACTGGAACAAGGTATCTCATAAATACCATGGTCTTCATTGATGATTTAGTCTTTTATGGATCCGACGAGATTGGAAAACTTAGAGTGAGTAGTGAAGATGGTTTTGATGTTTAGAGGGATAAGAGTTCTATTGATTTTGTCAGTAGCATCTTTAATAAAAGGTAGACAGATTTTGGGTTGATCATTAGACAAGGTTTCTTTTTAGCATGGAATGGGGTTTAGATGTTTTTGAATGCTCCTATTGATTTGGGTTTTGTGGTAGCCATTTTATAAGAGTGTTTGCCTTATTGAATTGATTTCGGATGACCTGTGATTGCTGTCGCTAAGTCTTATGGAACGGGAAATAAAAGTGGTAATAACTGAATTGAGTTGGACGGGGTGATAATGTCAATGGGCATTGAGATAACGGTTTGTATGAGTGAGTTTCCGGTACACGGAATAGCAAAAACTGTGAAGTGGGTTTTTCTGAATAAGAAGATCAAGGAATGACAAAGACGCTTCAGACTCAACTCATCGTGAATTGAATACTGGGATGTATTCCATTCAGATGGGAGAGGAAGAGATCTAATGTGTCTACCATGGGCCAAATGACAACGGTGTCACCAACGTACCGTAACCAGCAGGTGGGTTTGAGGTTTGATGAGGACAGGTCTGCTGTTTCGAAATGTTCCATGTAGATACCAGATATTACGGGAGAGAGGGGGATCCCATAGAGGCACCTTTGATTTGAACGATAGAAATGATTTTGGAACGAAAAGTATGTCTTAGATGCAGTGTTTTATAATGTCTTGTGGGATTTGATGTTTAGAGTCCAAGATGGAAATGGTTTGATCGATGGGAATGTTGGTGAATAAAGAAGCAATGTCAAAACTAACTAGTATATCTGAGGGTCAAATAGAAATGATTTTCAGAAGATCAATGAAATGAAAAGAGTTTTTGACAAAGGACGAGGCGTTTTCGGCTAATGGTTGTAAGAATAAAGCGAGTTGTTTCGCCAATTTTGTAGTGGGGTAGTTGTATGCAGTGACGATGGGTCTTTGGGGAACGTTGGACTTGTGGATTTTTGGAAGGTCGTATATCTTTGGAATTCGGGATAAATTTTCTCTGGGTATACGAGATTTTTTGATGTCTGGAGGTAGAGTAGACTTATTTATAATGGATTTGGTGGTTTTTTCTAGATAGATGGTGGGATCGTTTGGGACCCATTTGTATTCTGTGGAATTGAGAAGTTTGAACATTTTGTCGAAAGAATTAAAAGATTTGAGAATGACTGTGGCATTACCTTTGTCGGTCGGAAGGATGACAATGTCAGGGTTGTTATAAAGTCTTGAGGCACATCTTTTTGAAAGACTGATATTTGATAGTGGGAAATTGGAAGTACGGAGAATTCTGGTGACATCTTGTCTGGCACCTTTGGCTTGGTCCGAAGGAAGATGAGAAATAGTTTCTTGAGTTGAACAAATAATTTTCTGTTTGGGATGGAAAGAGGAGTGACAGAAAAATTGAAGTCTGTGAACAGAGCTTGTTGATTCGAGATGGACTGTAGATTTTGCTGAGAGAAAATAAATACAAGGCGCACACAAATAGTTTTACACAGTCATCTAGCGGAAGTTCTGTCCTTGATAAATATATTTTCGTAAATTTTCTTTTCTTATGGTAATCAATCTTGATAGTTTGAAAATCCATCGTGTAATTAAGCAGCAACAAGTTTCAAAAAGACCAATACCCGACATATGAAGAAATAATACAGGCAATTAAAAAACTTGAAAATAATAAGACACCAGGTAGTGACGGTATACCCGCAGAGTAATTAAAACATGGAGGAGAACCGTTGTACCGTTCTATATAGAAGCTAATTCAACACATTTGGCGAGAAGAAACAATGCCATATAAATGGAAAGAAGGGGTTATTGTACCAATACACAAAAAAGGAAACAAAAAGCATTGTATTAACTACCGGGAAATAACACTACTAAACACCACCTACAAAATCCTTGCAAACATCCTGCTAGAAAGAACCAAAACATACACAGAAGAAATCGTTGGCTATTATCAATGCGGATTTAGACCGGGCCGCTCTACTATTTCTAAGAATTTCCTTGCTGAGAAACCTAAGAGAGTGGTATAGTTGCAACTCAGTAGATCTTTTTAGAGCAGCCGCCAATAGGAGGCAGGAGAAGGAACTACAAGAAGAAGAAGCTCTACTAACAACCAGATATTCACAATAAAACAGATAATGGAAAAATGCTGGGAGTTTGATCGTGAGCGTCATCATATGTTTATAGATTTGAAGCAAGCATTTGATAGAGTATGCAGTGCCAGACTGTGGACAGCGATGCAGGAATTTGGCTTTCCAAAAAATCTAGTCAGGTTGATACGGATGTGTATGAAACGGTTACGATGTAAGGTGAGAGTTGGACAACAATACTCGGAGACATCTGAAATAGACAATGGACTAAAACAAGAAGATGCACTTTCACAACAATTGGTGGACAACGTGGACGATAACAAAGGCAAACGAAGAGGGACTGTGTGTTTGGGAAAGAAAAATCCTAAGGAAGATCTTTGGTCCTGTGCTGGATAAAGCATCAGGACAATATAGGATAAGAACTAACAAAGAACTTGAAGAACTCTACCCAGCCGCCAACATCATAAAAGAAAAAGTCCAGAAGACTCCAATGGGCAGGACACCTCAGAAGACATTCTGACGAACGAACAGTAAGACTGGTGTGGGAGGAAGTCCCAACGGGAAGGAGACCATGCGGACGCCCTCGTCTCCGGTGGCGAGATAATATAGCAGGAGACCTAAGCACTAGGAAGTGGAGAATTGGATGGAGGTTGCTCAAGACAGAAAACAGTAGAGGCATGTTGTCGATTCGGCTAAAACCCATAAAGGGTTGTAACGCCACAATGTAAGTTTCAAAAACATTTGAAAACAAGTTTTGATTTCTGAATGGAAATCTCTCGTGAAAATGTTCATGCGATGATTTTATACCATTTTAAAGTTGGCTTAACTAAATAACAACGCTTCGATCAACTTTGTTTTAGTTTTATTGATCAACTGTTACCAGATGGTTAGAAAAATCCAATACATCCGAGCATTTGAATGCGAAAAATATCGATTTGGTGGACCATCCTGCATTCATTACTGATTTTTCACCGTGTAAGTTCTTTACATTCCCGAGAATCAAAAACAAACTACGAGATAAAAGTTTGAAGACGTCAGATGAGACGGTTGAAGCATACAAAAATCTCATTTCTGAGATATGTTTGTTCGATTGCAAAAGTATATTGATCTTAAAGGCAAAAAACAAACAAAGCCGATTTATTTCTATTATTTGATCAAAACTTTTGGTGTACGCCTCGAAGATAACTATAAATCTGAATTTATAGTAACCCTAATATAAATCAAACATTATTGCTAATAACAATGATACATATATCTTACCCTCATCCTCAGATTTTTCTTTTTCTTCTTCTTCTGGTTCTAAATCATCCCTTGTTTCTTGGTACTTATGACTTTGCTTAGCATCTTCATGGTCTTCAACTTCGTCATCTGAGGAGTCAATTTGATTGTCACCTTCTCTTTCATTTGTTTCCGGTTGATCTTCACCTTCTTCGTTATTAGTTGTACTTTTCTTGATTCTTTCTTCCTCCATCATTACTCTTTAATGTATAAGATTATAAAGAAATGAAAATCATTATTATTTTTAACGAATTATGTTAATTAATCATTCTTACAGAAGAATGGGATCAAAAGATGCAAGGTGGACATGGACGTGAAAGTCCAAATTTGGCAGAACAAGATATTGAAAATTAAACTGAAAAAGTACAGAAAGCGTTTAAAAAAATACAATACATAGATACAAGAAAGCTCTCTAACCTTAAATAAAGAAAAGAAGTACAAGTAGAATTAAATTCAAGATTGGACAGAATAAAACTTTCACTGTAAATATTAGCGAAAGTAAGTTAAAAGGAGATAAGATCACATACAAAAGGTTGGATAACCGACGACAGCCTAAAATTAATGAATTTTCGCATACCATACATATATAAAAATCCTAACAGGCACAAAGAGATACAAAAAGAAATCAGGTCTAAGATTAAACAAGCGAAGAAAGAACGGTTAACAGGATAATGTAGGGATATAGAACAATTAAAGGTTAAACACGACTCATTTAATATGTATAAGTAAATCAAACAGACGACAGGTCATCCTGAGATGGTAGCTCATACAATATTACTGCATGTATATCACTGAAGAAAACTTCTTCTCCTTCCTGAACCTCACCTCCAGATTTTACTTCATTCTTCTGAGGAACTGTTAATGTATGACCTGTGAACTCGGTCAATCCACGGAATTATGAGTATTCTCCGATACAGCCATATCTCAAACGCTTCTCTTATCTTCTGGTTGTTGGCACATTCCTCATTTTTTAGGGTGTTGAGGTACTCTTCACTGTTTTTACTGAGTTTTGGTTGGCGTAGAGTTGATCTTCTGTTATTTTTTTCTTGCTAATTATCATGAGCTTTGACTTCATTACTTTTATTCTTCTTCTTACAGTACCGTCTCCCTACGGAGGTTGGCAATCATAATGGCTATTTTTATTTTAGAACTTGCTGCTCTAACAAATCAATCGATCTGATACGTAGTATCATCTCCAAAGTCATCAGTAGTCTGATCTCCAAATTTAGATTTTTGCACGTTAGGAGTGGCTTCATTCGTATGAATCATTGGTTTAATTGATCAAAGTTCCCAAGTACTGATATTTTTCTACTTGCTCTATCACGTTACCATTGATTGTCAATAGGTGATGTATATATTTGTGGTCTTTTTGTAATTAGCATGTACTTAGTTTTTTTAGCGTTTATAGTAATTCCCATCTCAGCACTATTCATACACAAGCTTTCGATGAGATGTTGTAGATCCTCTATACTCGTTGCTATGATCACAGTGTCGTCTGAATATCGTGAGTTGTTAATTAATTTTCCGTTAACGGTGACTCCCTTTCTTCTTAAAGTTCCATCTCCTATCGGAGGTTGGACATCATAACGGCTATGGTCACTTTGTTGGCTGCTGCTCTGAAAAATTGTAGTGAACTACAGTTAAACCATTCTCTAAGCTTCCTCAGCCAGGAGATGCGTCTTCTTCCTATGCTTCTTCTTCCTTGGATCCTTCCTTGCATAATAATTCTCAGCAGCTCATATTTTTCTCCTCTGGTTATGTGACCCAAATACTCTAGTTTTCTTCTTTTTATGCTGTTCATAATTTCCAACTCCTTATTTAGACGTCGTAGTACCTCAGCATTGGTAATCCTTTGAACCCACTGAATTTTTAATATTCTTCTGTAACACCACATTTCGAACGCTTCTATTTTTCTTATGTGTTGTTTTTTCAATGTCCAAGCTTCCATTCCGTATAGTAAGACAGAAAATATGTAACATCTTAGAGCCCTCAATCTAAGATGCAACTGAAGGTCTCTGTTGGTAAGCATTGTCTTCATTTTCACAAATGCTTGCCTTGCAGTTTCAATTCAGACTTTGATTTCTCTGCTTTGGTAATTTTTGTCATCAACCCAGGTTCCCAGATATTTGTATGTCTCCACTTTTTTTATTTGGGTTTGCTCTATCATTAATCTTTCATTGCCATGTTGCGTTTTTGAGACAATCATAAATTTAGTTTTTCTCATATTTATTTTAAGTCCGTATCTAATGCAATAATCGTTAATTCTATTTACCAATTCTTGTAGCGATTCCAAGGTGTCTGCCATTATAACGGTGTCATCAGCAAATCTTATGTTATTTACTATTCTTCCGTTTACAGAGATTCCATCACCCAGATCCGCTATCGCTTCCTGGAATATGGCACTCACGTTAAACAGTAATGGTGACAGAACACAGCCCTGTCTTACTCCTCTCTTTATATCTATATTTTCGGAATTTTGTTCTTCTATCTTTATATTGGCCTTTTGATTCCAATACAGATTGATAATGATTCGTAAGTCTCGTCTATCTATATCTTTGTTTCTCAGTACTTCTATTAGTTTTTCATGTTGGACCCTGTCGAATGCCTTCTAGAAGTCGATGAAACAGAAATAAATATCTAGGTTCATATCTAAGCATCTTTGAGAGAGGACATTAAAAGCAAACAATGCCTCTCTCGTTCCCAGTCCCTTGCGGAACCCAAACTGAGTATCATCCACATCATCTTCTAGTTTTCTATATAATCTTCCATGAATCACCTTTAAAAATATTTTGAGGGTATAGCTTATTAGTAATATTGTCCTATAGTGACTCCCGATTCGATATTATTGAGCGTGTTTTGTTTACTTTTATACTGATTCTATATTGTTGACTGTTGGTTATTCGCAAGGTGGTGGACTTCTAGGTTGTCCGCAAAACCAATGGTGTCATTTGCATATAAGATGTTATTCGAACGGTGCCCGTTTAGTATAATGACTTCATCAATTCCGCTTCATATTCTTTCAGAATAGAGATGAAAGATCAGAGGAGACAAAATAGAGTCGTGTCTCACTCCACGCATTCTTTTTACGTATTCAGTTTTATTCCATTGATTTATGCAATTTGATTCCAATAGAGGTTTCCAATTATTCTGGTATTTTTGTTGTCAATTTCTGCTTCTTTTAATATTTTCAGCATCTAGCTAACGTTATGCTCGTTCACATGATTTCTCGTAATCAGCCAGACATGCGTATATGTCGCAATTGACGTCTCTGCATCTTTGGAAAAAGAATTGTACTGATAATATAACCTTTCTCGTGCCATTATTTTTAGGAAAAGTGTTAGGACATGACTTCTGAGGGTTATCATAAGGTATTCTACGTATTTATTGGTTCCTCGTTTCTTTGTAAGTGCAACAAAACTCAAACTTCAGCCATTATGTTTACTGTTTTACATACCTTTTGCTGTGTTATTGCAGAATGAAGTTCCTGCTGCAATATTTTTTTCTCATCCTTTACCTCTTCTAATAACTTAAAAGTGTTTTTGGTCTTCAAAAACTTTCTCTTGGTATTCTTTCCATATTTTTATTTTAATTTGTTCGTCCAAGATGATGTTTCCATCAGAATCAGTTAGATTTCCTTTATGCCTTCGTCTTAGTCCACCAGTGAGCTCTTTAACTTTCTTGTGTACATCGTTACTATCTTGTTAAAAACTGTAAGTCTCAATTCTTCGCATCTTTTCGTTGCTCCTTTTGCTTTCTGCTTTCTGATTTCCTTTGTTACTTTTTATATTTATCACTTTTTCTTTCGCTTCTCTGATTCTCCCTATTTTTACATTTATCGCCTTATATCTGTCCGGTTCATATTTGGATTTCCTTCTTTACTTCATTAGCTTCTAACGTGTCAAAAGTCCGATACGTTACATCGTATCCAAATTTCGCTGTTTTATGTCATTTTAAAAACATCCCGTATATGGTTTTAACTTCTTTCTCATGAAACCACCCACAGTAATCTTTGCCTAAATATTCGACGTTTCTTCCCCTTTATAAGACAACCACTAGGTTCTCTTTTGAAGAGTTACCGCCGTAATACTCCAAGTACCGAACGAACGGCACGTTTGACTCTTTATTGCTGTTTGTGCGATTGTTTTTCTGAACACTGTTAATCCAGTTCGGACACTTTTTTGTTTAAAAATATAGTGAAGCCGGTTTGTTTGAACCTGTTATTGTCTCTTAAAAGGTCCGAACAAAAATATCCCGTTAAAGAACACCCTCATCGGAAGAAAGAAATACTCATGGCTTAAAAACATAAGGGAATGGACAAACCTCGATGCCCATGCACTCTTTAGAGCTACACAAGATCGAGGGGAGTATGCCAGAATTGTCGCCAACATCCACTAATTAGATAGGGCACCATAAGAAGAAGAAAGAACACCCTAACAGTTCAGTCTGATTTAGACCTCACACCAAGTCAACAGTACTTTGCTATTTGGAGATATTTTTCTATAAAAAGGAATATTTCTTGTTCTAAAGTTCATTTTTCCACTGAGCAGTTAAAGTATTTAGTTGAAGTTCGACAATACTCAGTGTTGTGTCTCTAGATCCCTCAGAAAGGGATCCGAAGTTAATGTCGTTCATAGTATGGTCCAATGTAGTCCCAAAGCCGGTCTTCGGTATATCCAATGTGGCGTGTTTTTAGGTATATTCAGAGGCTGGTCCAAATGTAATCTCAAGTATAATCCAATATCAGTCGAATATCGGTCTTAAATAGAATAGTAAATCCACGTATCCCAGTCTATCTAACGTTAGGCCATGACTGGCAATCGAGTTTTCCTTCAGCTGAATATGGATCCACATAGCTGCACAGATGCACAGAAGGTCAACGTTCAGCCGATTCTTTTTCAGCTCTAAACTGTTCCCCTCATATATATTGTCTGTCAATTTAAATAATGGCAGTTACAAGTAAAGTTACAAATAGAACGGGAGACTGTATATACGTAAATGTATAGACATTGTTTTTTAAATTGCCGTGTTATATGTGGTGGTATATTATATAATGATTCTTTTTTTTACCTTTTTATACTATGTAAAAATGTAGATATATACTCTTTGGCGTATATATCCTTCAATATTATATTTTGTTTTATTTGCACAAGAGAACGTAGTTTAGTTCTTATGTTTCATTATATTATTTGATTATTTTGTA